CACTGCAGCTGCTCTGATGGAAGACACCTGCAAAGTGTGTCTCCTGCAGTCCTTGACAGAAGAAGGAAATGAGAACACCAGAACACTCTTTGCATGGAAACCTCACGCTGGGGGAACAAGGGAAGTGGTTGACTCAGAACTTTTGCATTTTTGAGGTCGGCAGAGCTGACACTGGTGCATGGCACGTTTCATAACACGGTGCAGGCAGAACCAGGTGCTGGCTGTAAAATTCTCCTTCCTCCAGCTGAGCCTTCACCTCCTATACATGGGGATGAGCTTTGGTTTCCCAGAAACACCCACACCCTTACAGAGAGGCAGGAGCTGGGCTTGTCTCCTAGATGGAGATGCTGCAGCTGCGCTGGATCTGCCTTGGCCCCTGCCCACATCCCATAATTCCATGCCTGCTGGCTTCCCATTGCCTGTGCTACAGTAACCCTGCATCCCAGATGGGAGAAGTGGATGTGGATGGACTGTAGCAAAAATGATGCTAAATGGCCAAAAAATAGGGCTGGGAATCATTGAAGCACATTGAGGACCTGAAAGGTGACCCAAGTTTCCAGGCACCAACATCCCTGTGCAGCCAGCTCAGTTCTTCCACAGGTCAGAGCTGCTTCTCCTGGTGCTGACACGTACCAGGAGCAGGTGTAGGAAATAGCAGATGGCAGGATCATAGCCAGACATTAATCCCTCCTATTACACCACTCCTGTTAACCCACTTTGGCAAGTTGTATGTTTCAAAGAGCTACCGGCTGCAGTTATAGACGGGCAATGTGAGCGCTAAGCACTTATCACTAGGTTCCCACCTGGGCCAGGCCCTGTTGGGTGGACATCTGTCTCAGCAGACTAAGCAGGCTCTTCTGCTGCTTCCTGACTGTGCTGCTGCTTCCTCTGCACAAGAGCAGTGTGCTGGGATGAAGCCACTGGCTGCTTGCTGGGGTTGTGATGGCATGGCATGGCTATCATGATGACACCATGCTGGGGAGATGCAGGGCAGCCACACACCTGGTTGGAGCACAGAGGCCTGACCAGTGCAGTTCTCTCCAGCTGGTTATATGCACGTGTTCTTCTCCCCTCCCTGTATATCAGTTTCCTACCTATGCAAAGGGGCAGTGTTTCTCAGAGTTCTCAGCCTGTGAGCTTTCAGTACTGGGGTACTGTGGCATCCCACCTCAAGACTGATCTCCTACATGCACTGGTCCTACAGAGGCGTGGGAAGGATTCATCACCTAGACATGCAAGAGGCCGAGGGTTGTTATGATTAACCTTTCTCTGATGTGGAAATATGAAGGGACTCCAGTCTTTGGCCAGACTGGCAGGAAGCCAGGTGCCGCATAAACACTGATCCGAAACACCATTTCCGTCTTAAGGCTTTTACAACATAGGATGCTCTGCAGAAATCTTGTACACAGCAGTGGAGAATCCAAAGGGATGGTGGAGTAGTTATATGTGAATGTGAAGAATATTCTGGGCTATTGCCAAGATGACTTTGCATCACAGCTTGAAGAGTTTGTGGTGATAAAGCTAGTGGCAGTTTGTAACGCCTGTGTAGGATGGATCCAGCATCCTCCACAAGCTGGGTGGTGCAGGCTGGGATTCCCAGTGTATTCACAATACAGAGCTCTACCTCACCCTCCAGCAAACCCCGGTGAGCATCTGCCTCTCGCAGAACAAGCTCAGCCAGCTCAGCCCTTGCAGTGCAGCCCTGTGACCCCATCCAAGCAGCCCACAGCTGGCACACAGCCACACTTCCCCCCACTTGGAAGCTACGTGGGGCACTTTGAGCTCCCCTTAGCCCATGTGCAAAGCAGAAGGCCAAAGACTACTATGTGAGCAGAGAAAAGGCAGATGGAAAAATGTTTCTTCATCCACAGCATCACTTGAGGTAGACCCAGTGTTATGCACAGCAGGGCTCAGTTGTTTGGGTTTCTCTGGTGTACTTTAAAAAAATCCCTTAATTACACATGAAGTGAGAATAGAGACAGGAAGGCTTCAACATAGGAAAATCCAAACCACTTCTGCTTCTCAGTTGCACAGAAACTCCTCGGACACTAAAAAACCCACCTGCCAGAGCTCCCGTGGCACTGCAGGCCATGGGTGTTCTTCCCTTCTCCCTGCTGTGCAGGGCTTTCCCAGGATGCAGCAGGCAAGCTGAACGCCTGCTCAGTCACTCCATCACTGCTGTCAGATATTTGCTTTTTGTTTGTTTGTTTGTTCTTTTAATAAACAAGGCAATGATTCATGAGCATAGCTCTGTTACCTGCTGCATAATGTTTGCGGAAAGGGTGGACTGGCTGTCAGACCAGTGCTTTGTTACCGAGTCTGCCTTCAGTTGGGGATAATTTTTATCTGTTTCTGAGCAAGTCACTCCTTTGTCCAACTTTCCTTTGATTTATCGGGTTAGATCATCTCACAGTATCTCCTTCTGGGCACCAGGCTCTACAAACTGCCCAGTTATTTTCCTTTTTTAAACGGAAGGTAGAACAGGGAGCACAAATTAATGTCTCTCCCTTTTTAAAATGTCATAAAGCCACTTAATTCTACTCCTTGGAGAGCAGAGAGCTGTTTACCTGTAAAAAAGTGCTATGATGAAGCAGGCAAAGGCAGAGGATAATTTGGCAAAAGATGTTACTAAAAATGTGTCTTTTAATGGCTGGCAATTAGCTTGGGAAGGTGATATAAGATCACTTGTCCCAATTTGAGGAACCTGAGCAGTGCTCCAAACATCCTCTCAGCAGAGGAAGCCCCGCTCATTAATAACCTAGAGAACATAAAAGCCTTTTGCTTGTCTTTAGGTGGGGTGGAGAACAAAAGTTGTTCCAGTTGTATAAGCAGGATCCCAAGATAGCTATTTTTTTCCATAAGGAAATATGCAAGTTCAAGGCTTTTATTTTTAATACAGAAGGAGCCTAGGACTATTTGTCATAATGTCAGATGAGAACAGCCACCCTAGGGAGAACAGGGCTCCCTCCAGCCCTGGATCACGATTCTGGGCTGCAGAATGCTGATCCATTTAGGCCAGCACTCTTTAGCTGCTGCCTTGGATAGGAAGTGAAATAGGTCAATACAGAGAAACTAATGAAAATCCCACCCTTCATTAACATTTGCTTATGATATTGGCTCATCCTGAGTCATGGCATAAATCTACCTGGTAACCCACATATTGTGCACAGGATATGTTTGCACTGCAATCAAAGAAACGATCATGGAGATGTTTACAGCAACCAGACGTTATATAATAGCTGTGGCCAGTCTTACTGGCTACATTGGTCACATAATTTAATATTTTCATGCTGATAACATAAGAGTAACAGGAAGCAAGCAAACCCACAGAAGTCCAGTCCACAAAAATCCTTCCAAACAAATTGACACCGATGTTGCTCTTCCACCTCAAAACTTCCTCCTGTGTCTCTCACCAGAGAATCCAGAGCACACATTGGAAACATCTCTGACCACGCTTCAAAAGTATTCAGGTGCAGAGAGACAAAGCAGACTCTCCAGACAGGGTTTCCAAAGCACATTCCAGGTTAAGAAATCAAGATGGACATTTTAAGTTCCCAGAGAGAGCAGGAGTTGTCCTCTCCATTATGAAAGTGGGAGTCATCTTCTGCCATTGCCTGACTGGTATTCAGGAGCTGGTCTTTTCCAGTTATCCAAGCTCCTGACCCAAGGTACCTCAGGAGATGGCCTATCCCACCTCAAGGCGACAGCTGAGAGGTTAAGGTGGGATAACGTTTATAGGCATCTCTTGCCTACCCAAGCATCCTGTGACAACACTCCACCTGCTCATTATGGGTTGAGGAAATGAAACTGGGAAATCCTAAAGACAACTGTAAAGCAGAGTTTTTCCACTCAAAGTTTGATCTATTATTGTAATGAACGTCGCATCCTGTGACAGGAAGGTAGAAAAATAACAGGAAGGATTCCAAGGAGAAGAGGACAAACCTGCAGTCTGGGAGAACGGGGCAAAGAAAGTCTTTGCAAGCTCATCAGCTTCAGCTGAAAAATGGCTCTCAGCTCACCCCCCATAATGTGATTTGTATGCTGTTCAGAGCAATCATTAGACAAGGCAGTTAGCTGGCTCTGTTATGTATTATGCTACAGGTGCAAGGTCTGGCATCCCACATAATTGCTGCATAGATCTAGATTTAGCTTATCATCATTTTTATGTAAGCTTTCAAAAGGAAAAGAGGAGCTCAGCGGTTGCCCTGTGCTGGGCTTTGGCAGTGATCCCCGGGCCGGGGAAGGACTGGGGCTGGACACAGAGCTGGGCAGCGCTGCACCCAGCTGCAGAGAGCCAGGCCCAGAGTTTGGGAGAAGAAAACAATCTTATCACTGGGAAACTGATCCCATCACCTGCTGCCTAGCTCTCTGAGGGCACCTTGCCCCGGCCATCCCTGGACTCCCAGCTGCACAGCCCAGCCCCGATGGCTGCAGCTCGGGGCAGTGTGTCACGGCGTCCCACTGACCGCAGCTCACTGCCCCAGCACAGTGACCCACACCTCCTGCCAGCCCGGAGCAATCCCTACCCCATCATTAACGCCGCTGCGGGGTGGGGCGCGGGGAGGAACCGCCGGGCGAGCAAAGAAAACCAGGGCACCGAAACCGGGCTGGTGGCCTTTGAGTCCCGTGGTCCCTGCGAGCAGCGGGAGCACAGTGCTCACCAAGGTGACTCACTGGAGCTGGGCACAGCTGTGCTGGTCCGTGCCAAGAGCAGGGCAGTGTCAGCCCTTGTGGTGCTGCGCGTTCGGTCATTCAGCCACCAACTAAACGGACATCTGTGGATGCTGAGAGATTGCTCACAAACAGCTCTGAGGTGTCTGGGATGCTGAGAGTCAGTGTGCAGATGATGGGCATCTTGATGGCCAGCTGTACTGGAAAAAGAGCATCGGTTCGTGTTTTGGCTCTTAGGTGTTCGTGTTTGTAGGCTCCTTGATATTTAAAGCAGGTTCTCCATTGCCTCTGGAGAGTGAAGTTCCCCCTTGTCAAATTAAGTTAAAAAGAAAAAATAGTGAGAAAAAACTAATCACTGTAAATAAAGTAAATTTTACATTTTCAGACTATCGGATATAAACAACTTGGCCTGAAGCTTCACTGCCAGTTAAAGCTGCTAGCAGATGTCACACACAGCAGAATCTGACCTTGGTTCATGGGTTATCATGTCACCTGTCTTAATACCCCTCATGCACACTATACTGACATCACTGCAGCTTTGTGAGTGGTAGACTGACACGTGCAGGACCTTGTCTAGGGGCTGGTCTAAAACCAGTGGTGGTCTGTCAGTTCTGCTGCTCTTCAGGCAGCAATGGGAGCTGCTGTTGGCAGCAGAGCAGCTCCCCTCACCTCTAAGCCAGTGTTTAAGGAGTCCCCAAACACAAGGGGTTGGTGAGGCACACCAGGGTGTAGACTGAGTCTTTAGAGCCTGTGAAGAACAGTGGCAGAAGCCCAGAGGAAACGATGGAGTTGTTGGGATGTATTAATGGTGCTGAGTTTGTATCTGTATGCACTGAACTGCCCCCTCCAAATCCAACTCTGTGATGGCCTGAGGAGAGTTTGGATTTATACCAAAGGGCACACAGCTTCCCAAGAGATTGTGTCTTCCTTGCTTGCAATTTGTCTTCTTGTAAAAGGGAAGTTATTTCTAGATTACCTATGAAATGAGTCATTGTTCTATTGCTACTCCAGGAAAAGGAAAAAAAAAATAGAAACATTAAGGAGTAAAGAGTCCTGAGCAGCAGCTTTGAGAGACTGGAACACAATTCAAAACAAAATATCATCAGGAAGGGTCTCAGTTCTTTCAAACAAGGGCCTTAATTTTGCTCCCCGGGGGAAAGTGTTTGTAATGAAAAAACTACTGCTTACACTTTTATGGCTCCTGCAAGGCTGACTCACCTCTGATACACATATCATGGGACAGAAAAGAAATAATATTTCCCATCCAGCATGAGGCTTTACTTCAGACATTCCCAAAGCACCTGGTTATTTTTTGAGCAGGCTCTGAAGGGTGATTACAGGCTGGAGCTTGATCCAGCAGCATTTCTGTAGAGCCAGACATGGACACCAGCAGCTGAGACACATGCTGCTCGTCTTGGACGTGTTTGATGTACAGAACCAACAAAACCCAGCACACTGCTTTCTCTTGCACCTGCTCCCATCCCTGTGCACAATGCAAGTGTAATGCCAAAAAGGTTTGAGGGCAACTAAGATGACCAATTTGAAGTTCTCTGAATTTCTTCACCAGTCTCATTTTGAAATCTGTGTTGGTAATATCGAGCACGGATGATGCAATCACCAAGTTGCCATTTTGAGCAACCTACAGGTTTTACTGGACTCTAACAAATTTCCAAGCACTGTCCTGGAAACCTTTGTGCAGTGCTTAGCAAAACAGGCAGTTACCTAAAGGCACCAGAACTGCGTTAACATATAAAGCAACACAGCAGTATACTGCTTCCCTCACACGTTATGAGCCAGGCTAGATGGTTCAGAACCACACTGCACAGAAACAGAGCACCCTGTGGCTCTGCAAGCCTTTCCCAAGAAACAACCATCCCACTCCAACAACATGAAGGTTTCTGGGATGGACAGGTCTTCCTCACCACCACTGAGCAGAATTATGCATCAAAAGCTTCCATACAATCAGGGAACCGAAAATGAGCTTTGGGAAGACGGTGATTTTTGAAGCAGGGTGTTGTACCTGTCAGGGACAGTGGCAGCCAATCTGTCTGGTCTCTCTTAAAAACAGACCGAAGGCCATAGCTGGGCATCCTGTCTCTGTCAGCAGCCAGTAGCAGATGCTTAAGAAAGATATAAACCTCAGGAAAGCCTGTAGTCACACTTCCCCAGAAATACCAGATATTTCCTGAACCGAAGATGGTATCTCTTTATTTAAGAGCTCTCGGATTTTTCATTTGGCACTGTGTGCAGGACAAGTTCTGTGAAAAATAGCATCTTCTGTTGTTGGCTCTAAAAACTGCTATCTGACAGTTTCACCTGATTCTCCTTCATTGCCATTCCTGTGCCCCGCAAGATGTGACAGACCTCTGTCACTCAGCTCTCTGGTGTGACAGGTCTTGGAGATCCATCCTGGACCTGACTGACTTGTCTCTTTGTACAGAAGCTGCTTTGAGCACTATCCACCTTTGCCAGTTCTGCTACAAACCAACAAGCAGCCATCACAAAGTCAAGAGCCATATGACATAGCTCAGCTTCATGGGGAGAGATGGCTCCAGGAGTCACCCAGGTCCAAGATGACAGTGGCTCCTTTGCTTGTTACAAGCCAGCATGGCCCCGATGAGCCTCCTGTAGCCCTCTTACAAGATAAACAGTTAAATATCACAGAATCATGGAATCATTAAGGTTGAAAAAGACTACTAAGATCACCAAGTCCAACCACTATCCCACCCTCACCATGCCCACTAAACCATGTCCCACATCTCCACAGTTCTTAAACGCCTCCAGAGATGGTGATTCCACCAAGTCCCTGGGCAGTCTGCACCAGTGCCTCACCACTTCTTCTGAGAAGAAATCATTCCTAATATCCAACTTGAATATACAGAAGAATTTGTGTAGCTGAGCCAGGAGAAATGCATCTTCATCCTTCTGTTCTCTCAAATCTGGCAAATTGTGGAAGACCATCCCAAGGAGGGACCATGGCTGGTCATGTCTTGCACCAGGCCCACAAAACAAGAAGGAACATGCTACAGCACAACACTTCTCAAAGCAGTTTTTGTTAAGCAGCAAATTCTGTGTAACCGCATAACTCACTGAATATTGAGAATGTTTGTCTATGACGACCATACATGAAGTCTCTGATACAGACACTTATCAATGACAAGTCACCAATGTCTGGAATCTCAGACATCCCCAAGCATCCTCTAGTACAAAAGAGTCCTGTTTGCTGTAACCCAAGCTATGTGATCCAGATGCAGGCAACCATCCGTTTTTTCTTCTGTTTTCAGTCAGGCTCTAAAAACATTGAGTCAGGTTTCAAAGCAGCATAGCCTCTTGCCATCTTTTTTTAGTGTATGGCAATACAATCACTCAGCACTGGCGCAATGACACAGAAATCTGCAGCAGACCTCTATCTCTATTGTATACAGAGTAATAATTTGATGCTGCTATCTGCAGTGAGATCTGCTATCTGTTAGCCATGTCTCCATTCATGTCCTGTGATCGAACTCATCCCTGCTCATTCTCATGTGGCTTCTCTCCCTGGGCCATCCCTAGCATGGCCTAAAAACATCCGGCTGTGCCCTCAGGAAGACACAGGAACAGGGGAAAGCACGTCTTGTTGCTCTGCATTGCATGTATTATTTTTAAATCATCACACAAAAGGATGCGGTTCCCATCAGCCAGGGCATGTCCGAGCTTCTGTGAGACAGGGCTTTGTATTTCTAAAGGCAGAAAATGTGGCATGTGCTGCTGCCATTGCTCTGGCAATAACCACGTGGGGTGAGTGCTGTAGCATCAAGTCACATGATAAATAAAAAACATCCACTATACAAATTAAAGTAGGCCAGAGAAGATTTTATTTAGATGGTAGAAATTTTCTTAAATGTTTTCTTTCAGATATTGCTATGTAGAGGCACAATATGCTTGTGGAAGCTGAGATTGACTTAGCTGCTCTGCCCACTGCGCTGTAGGGCTAGATCCCCACCTGGCCCAACTAAACCCAGAAGAGGCAGGCTTCTACTTGTATTAGACCCAGCTTGTTCCTCTGAAATACTCCCATTCCATCTCTATCCACCCATCTTATCCTGAATGGCATCCAAAACTTTTCCCTTCCCTTCTTACTGACCTCTTCATTTCCGCCCCCACCCGCTTATTATCTTTGCACTTGCTCTGTTTAGCATGGGGATTTTCAAGGATACCACCCAACAGAAGATGTGTCTTCACAGCACATGAAATCCCCAAGAGTCAAATCTGGGTGTCACAGCTATGCAAGCAGGTGCAAGGGATAGGGCAGTAACAACCCAGCAAGTCAGTCACCCACAGGTGTGTGTGCATGCTGATTTGCATCCTTGCTTTGTATTTTATAGGAAGAAGACAAACAGGCTATTCTTTACTAATACTTCCTCAGAGTCCTAACCACGATGTCAGCCTGCCTCCTTCCTGCTAGCACCAGCATTAGCTCCTCAGCCTCGTCCTGGCAATAATTGCCAACTGCCCACAGCCCCCCTGCTGAAACAGGTCGGGGAGCTTCAGCAGCTAAATCCTCCTCCGGAGTTCTGAACAAGTTTCACAAGGCACTTCAAAGATTCAGCAGCTGGAACAGTGATACGATGTCATGCGTTGCAGATGAAGTGCTAATACTGTCCATAATGGATTTGCTGGGATGTATTTCACGTTTCCTCCACCTGTTCCCTCTCTGGTGGAGTTCTTGCTTCCCTGGGGTTTTGTCTTCATAACATACCATGTCTGCTTGTGGGGAAGCAGAGCTGACAGTAGCTGTGGTTGGCCTTATTTCTTTGTACCTTACAGTGAGACCTTGTCTTGGATCCAAGAAGAGAGCAGTGATACAGTGCCAGCTTTCCCTGTTGCTAGTGTTAGTACCTACAGCAATGCCCTGCTGTTCTCCTGTGTGGAGCCTGTCCCATATACATTTCCCAATCTGCATGGGGAGAAACAGCAGAGATGCAACCAGGAAAGCGATGTGTTCCCAGGCGCTCACCCTGCAGATCCTGTGATGAGTGTGAGGCAACCACGCAAGCTCTGTTCACACCTTGAGAAAGGTCATGTGCCACAGCAGGCACCTACCCCATCACCTCCTGATACCAGAGCAGGTCCTGGGCAGAAGAAAAACAGGCACAGTCTCCTCTGAGACTGTTATTCTAGCCAGCTAATTAATAGCTTGTTGATTGCACTCTTAAAAGTAGTGCAGTTAAAGGAGGACATGCAGTGTATATCTTCTTTAAAAGATGGTTGTAAATGAATTTACTTGTTTCATAAAGCAGGATGTCTTGACTCGATACGTTATGTAATTACTCAGACCAGCTGGTACAGAGAATCACAACCAAAACCGAGCTCCTGCTCCGCAGCACAGATGAGATTTCTCTTCTCAGTGCCACGCACTCAGTCCTGGTCCTGACGTTCTGTCTACGTACTCACAGTGACGTGTTCTGGCTGAGCATATAAGGACCTCCTAGAAGCTTGCAGCTGTGAGAAGAGAAGAAGGAAGGTCTGCACCATATCTGAGCAAGCAGGCATCCTTCCAAACATGCTCTCAGGCAGCTTGGGGGAAGGGGAGGAAAGGTTAAATATTAAGAGCTCAGGACACCTGGATCCTCTTTCCTGCTCTGGCCACAGATTTCCTGAGAAAGCTGTTTCTGACCTCAGGTTGTCTTTAAGAACACCAAAAATTCTCCAACGCTTTGTTCAAAGCATCCATATACCACTAAAATGGTGTGAGATCCTGAGTCCTTAAACTGCAGTGAGGGTCTGGTACCTTAAGCCACTCAGGACCAAAATAAAGCTGCATTACAAGGAGGGCCAAATATCTTCAATTGCATCAAGGCCTGGATTTACATGATGGCTGCAACTGAAAGATTTTGGAGGCTTCTCATCACAGCAACCAGCAGAGAAATGAAAGCTAAACTTGCTCTCAAGTTAGCAGGAAGACCAATGGGCTACTACATCTCTACTGGTAAGAGCAGGGCAAGGTAGGCAACATACTGATGTAGCAGGAAAAGAAAGCAAGAATCAGGCTGTACAGTGTGTCACGCCTTATTCATACAGGGCTTGAAGAATCCCTCAGCAGCTCAGCACATCCCTTGCTGGCTCCCTCCCCTGCTGCTTGCCCCATCCCCAGATCACTTTTCCTGCAAGTGGTGGTGGGGCCGGGCTTGGGAGCTGCACACACGAAATCCACCCAACACCAAACCACAACCTGTTTTTTTAGCAGGGCTATTTTCAGCCCCAACAGCATGCAGAAATGAAGTACCATTAGGAGCCAACCCCACAGTCTGCTGCAACTGATAGTGGGAAAAGCTCTTCCTTCTTCCATCCCTGCTTGTGCCCATCTGTATCCCCAGCTCTAGAGTAAGATTCCTACTGTCTCCTTTGTGTTGGCTTTGGGGCTTCCAAATCCCTCTTCAGCTCACTAATCCAGCAAATGATGCTCTGTTTTGACTTGCTAGGATGGGAAGCTCTGCAAAGCCAAGTTAAAACATCCAAAAAACCCTCCAGTAATTTCATTGCTGAGGTCACAGCGTAGGCCACAACCACAGGAAGAAGATCAGGGCCCAGGGCCAGCGTACCCTCTGGAACCAGCTTCATCTTGAAAGGAAGCATGGTTGAACAGCAGCCTGGATGTAGTACTAGCTGTAATGATCCCAACAAGCTTTTGTTTTCTGCAGCAAATGAGATGTGCTTTGCTCTTGAAAACAGAAGAAAGAAAGCAGCCAAATACAGAAAAGCAACCTCATTTCTACAAAACGACTTGCATTACTTAATATGTACACTGAAGTGCTATATGTGGCATGCCTAGCAAGTCAGTGATTCTCTGCTGACCTTTGTCAACATTCAAATTTTCCATGGGCTCAGCATATCCCTACATAAAACCAATAACTGTCAGCTAAACAATTTAATTAGAATCCATCGACCAGGTAGAAAGACTACAGCTCAGGAACAGTTGTAAAATGAAGTCGTGCTGACAAACGCCAAGTTTTTTTCCAAACCTCGTCGTGTCCTCATCAAAATAAAACAACACCTTTATCGCTTTCAGAGTGTGAAAGAGAAGAGTCAGTGGGGAAAAGGCCTGAAAATCTTAATGCTAGGGAGCAGGCTTGAATAATTGGATGGAAGGGTCTACAGGGAGACTTGCAGTGCGGTGAGAAAACAACACATCCACGTTGTCACTTCCCCACTCACCCCATCATGGCCTGCGGGAGGGACACAGTGCAATAGCATGAGTGTACGACCACCCCATGGCAACCTCACTAGGATGCCCACCAACGCTGCAATCCGCTGTAGGTGCTCTCAGGCATTTGGGTTCTGCAAAAAGCTGTAATTAGCTGTCTAGACAAAAACCCTAACTTCCCACAGGATCTTGCTACTTGATTTTTAGGTTGGCTTCTTTTGTACTGCAAGAGTCCATGTGCCCGCCTCCCCTGAACACCACAAAGCTATTATAAAACTGAAACCTCCCTGCAAAACCCTGAAGAATGTTGAATGTTTCTGTCTGTCCTCTTCCTCCTGTTTACACAACACATTGATAAGATCATTAGTAGTCATTTAACATCTGATTCGCATGTTTGTTGTTGCTGTTGCTGTAATATTTTGCCTTTCAAAATTCCAGAACTTGGCTTTCCAAGAGTGACTGAGGTTGTGTGGGAGAGAAGTTTGCATCCTTGCCAGCGCCCCAAGGATACGCTTTATATCTGGACTATTTAAAATCTCCTTCACCATCAAACGTGTTACCATCATTTTTATCTTGTTGTTTTGTATGACCTATTCTTGTTATCCTGCATAACCTTAGTTTAGCAATATCAGGTTGGACATTAGGAAAAATTTCTCATCAGAAAGAGCAGTGAGGCAGTGGCATAGGCTGAAAAGGAAGTGGGGGAGTCACCATCCCCAGGGGTGTGCACGAAAAGTAGAGATTTGGCACTGAGGGAAATGGTTTGGGCGGCATGGTGGGATGGGTTGATGGCTGAAAGTCATCTAGAAGCTTGGTACAAGCAGAGAGCTTTCCCAGGAATCCTGATCTGGATTACACCAAACCACTTACTCAGCTATACCAGTCTGCATGGTACAGCGCTGCGCCAGTCCTCATCCAGGAGACAAACACCTCCTGCCATGGGGAGCCTACACGAGGTGAGCGCTCGATGTGTAATCAAATCTGCAGTAAAACAGTGCTGACAATGCCTCATGGAATCCTATCAGCCCTGCAGCTGCTTGTCAGGTAGAGCTGTGAACTGAAGGGATGACTTGTATCTGAAGAAGCTGCAGTCAGATGCCCACAGTTGAGCAGCTTGGGAGTTCTGTGTCACTGAAACAGATCCTTCATTAACCGTGCACAGCAGCACCCACAGCTGATGTCCTGTGCTGCCCAACGCATGACAGTCTGAAGGGTCGCAGCTATGCTATCCCAAGGAGGGCTGCCTGTTGAAGTAGAGATCCTGTCCCTTCTCATTGTGTTAGGGACAAGTCATTCTGCTCCCCCACTCACGCTTGGAAAACCTCACCCTTCATTTTATAATTCAAAACATTTTCAGTGTTGTGGAGGAGGGTTTGCTGATACTTCAGCAAAGAGAAGAAAACTGCTTAGTGATCTTGTAACTAGGAAGCAGAGTTCATTGCAGAAAGGGGAAAGAGCTCATCACAGAATGGGAAAGGACAGAGAGGGAGGTGCACACTTTCCCCCTAACTCATGTACTTTTCTGTATTACAATTTAGTAGTTTAAACAAAACTTCTACCACGATCTTGTGATATAGGGTGTATTGCAGAAAGCCCATCTTCTTGAGAATCAGAGCAATATCTAAGATCCTCAAGAGCGAATAGCAAGAGCACAGGCTTCTAGTTGACAGGACTGAAAAATGTAGACAGTAGCCTCAAAACACGGGTGACTTTCCCATGTGGGAAAAATTAGCACTTACCTCTGAAGTTAATGCTTCCTGGTCCACACGTTGTAAGGCCAGACACAACCATACTACTCATCCATTCTGCTCAAAGCTGTGGTTGAGGTGTACAGATAGAAGCAGACCAGAGAGCCTGCTCAATTCTTTCACCATTATCACTTTAGCAGGAGCCACAGTGGCATCTCCTCCATCCCACACAACTCTGATTGTACCCATTCCTTGTAGCAAGCTGGGATTTGCTGTGCAGTGCCTCCATCAGCAGAGTGCCCAGTGCTTTTGTTGCACCCAGCTGGTTTCTTTCATCTGGGCATAACACTCAACTGCAGCAGAATGACAAATAGATAAATAAGCAGCTGTGTTTTGTGGTGGAATTTAGTGTCCCGTCCTCTCCCTTCTCTCAGCTTTTTGTATGGAAAAGAGCTGTCAGAAATAGGTGCTGGAATCCAGTCACTCCATCCAGCACTTACATCTGCTTTCTTTTGGAGTACTGCTGCATTTCATCTTCAGAAGAAGGTCAGGGTGCCTAAAATATTTATGCTTGGAGCAACTAAAAGTAAAACCAGTGGTAGGTAATTCTTAACCAGTTTCGCTATTTGTGCTGGTTACGCTTTTTGCTAGGGAGTTATTTTTCTCTCAAGAGAAATTTAAGAGAAGAAACACAAGGCCTGTTAAACAAATCCTTTCAATCCAACTGCAGAATTGTTTGTGATTTCTTCCAGTGACATAAAGCCATGCTCCACTGGATCCAGACTCCATTCTAAGGAGACAGTAGTAAAGGCTCACCTTGAAAGCAATTAATCTTATCTAAGGCTTTAATTGTAAACTGCATGAAATGATAATAGGCTAAACTCAAGGGTGCTTCATTTGCTGCTGAATACTTGTAATAGGATAGGATTTGTGTCGCCTTATTGATCTCTGTTGACATAATAACACTGAGTAGACAAGCAGAGGAAAAGACCACACTTCCTTTGATAAGGACTGTGTCAACTACTTCCCAATAGCCTGACAACAGGGAGGAAGGGAACGAAGATGTTCCCTTTGATTCAGAGGTGTGGGCTGTGCAAAGGTCCCCTTTCTTTAAGATAGAGAATTTGTAGGCTATATCCTCCCCTTTGATATTCTCCCTCGAGGGTGAGAGCCCATCTGAGCAGGGAAGAGGGGGTCCACCCTCTCCTTAGCCATGGCCACACATCCCTCCAGTTGGCAATGCTACTTTTGGAAGGCAAGCATATAAGGAAATAATTACTTTCTTTTTTTTCCTCACAGCATTACTTATTTGACAACTCATTTTTCCAAACTGACTCACTTTCTCTCACATCAGTGCTAATGTTGGCTTCAAGGAAGGAACAAGACCAGAGCAGACCTAACTTACATCTGCCTTAAGATGATGCTAAGCTGCAAATCCCATTGCCAACTCGGTAAAGGCTGTGCCCACTTCAGGAACCCAGATGCCCCAGGATAGGAATAAGGAGCTCTTCAAGAAGGGCTGCATTGCCTGAATGTAAACCAGAGGCCATCTAGCAAACAGCAGGGAGAGAGCTGGGCAGTAATTTCTAACTGAGCAGTGGAGGGATGTAATAAAACCTGCGGGGGAAGTCCATTCATTCGCACACATTCATTCTCTCTCCTCTCCCTCTCCCATAGAAAATAAACACCTAATCTTTTGTATTTCTCAAAATATCCCTTGTTAATGTAACGAGGCCATAGGCAGTAACCTCGAGTCAGCATCCTGCAGCAATTCTGACAAGTCAGCAGCATCCTCACTGCTCCAAGGAATTGGAAAACACCAGCAGCGCAGAAAACACAAACATCAACACGCAGAGCAAACACGCCTGGTGCGCCAGAGCAGCAGCAAAGGGCCTCCAGGGACTGTGGGGAGTGCGCTGCTTGTTGGGGAGAGTGAACGTGGGGGACATAATGAACGGGCAAGGCATAGTTCAGCTTCTTAGGATTCAGAAAGTAATTAGAGGAGGCACAAGTCAGCAGAAGAGAGTATACACTGTGACTTCATTAGAGTCATCAGCACTCACCCCCTACTGAGCAGTCTCCTCTTTCCCTCTCCCCTGCCTCCCGCAGATTTTGTTACCAATGCTCAGGGTCATCTCACCTAATGAAGTCCATTTTAAAGCTTTCTCAAAATGCAACTTGGAATCTTAGATTTTCTGCTTGGGAAGCACAGAGGAAATAAAGAAAATAAAATAAGGAATAGGTTACTTAGACAGAGAGACGAAATGAAACTACAGTTGCAATCATCATGGATGTTATGGCTGGTGGAGCCCCCCACAACCCTCCAGTCTCCTGCCCAGCACAGGCAGCAGCGCAAAACCCACCTCCTGATCAAACCATACCCTGCTATCTGCCATCAGCTTTTCTGAAACCCATCCAGACACCTGACATTAACACAGCTCTGTGCTGAGTTCATCACAACTGTTTGCTTTAAGCATCAATAAAAGAAAAGCCCGTCTGCAATCAGTTGCCACCAAATACTGATTGGAACGGGATATGTGTTCAGGGCTAAAGACTTGCTTTCAAGCAAAAATGGTTATGTATTGTCATACCTTGGGATCTTTGGAGATGGATTTCTGATAGACCTTGTTCTCTCTCATTTGCCTTTTCATTTTTCCTTGTAGCTACAAGTCTTTTCCTGTGGCCAAAACAATATGGGAATTGTCATGAGAAGGAGTGATCTCACAGCACTCCTGAGCAGGCCCCAGGCACTGTGGCAGTGTGTTGGCATTACTGCAGTAACTGGAACATTTGGAGACTTTTCCAGAACAGCAAGGAATGGAGAGCAGCAGGCTGACTCTGCTGCCCCACAGGGCCAGCCCCACATGGCCCAATGCATCACCCCACACAAGGCCAGACACTCTCTACAAGCTTAGTTTTCCAGTAAAAAAAGATCAATGCTGTGGGAGTACTCAAACACAGAACTGCCTTGCTCTGTCCTGCCCAATGAGACAGAGACTTTGTTGGAGAATTAATTGCTTTTACATCAATAGAGAAACTTTGCACTGCTTCCACCTCATTCCCAGCCACAATGACCTTCGTTACACCTTGACTCTTTCAGCCCATCTGGCTATAAATTAGGACAGACAGGTTACACCCTTTCCTTCTCCTGTAATGCACATGAACATCTCTGCAGTGCTGTTGGCACACAAAAGCTTTTGCCCTTTCTGTTTCCCTCCCCTGATAATGAGCCATCCATTAAGGAGGCAGATGCAGCTTTAGCTGGCGATATCTTATGTAATTATGTGGGTGAACAACAGAGACAGAGCGAGTAGAAAATGGTGGAAAGCAGGAAAAGCAAAAATGGCACAATTTCCAGAGCCCAGAGAGCTGTAGCATAACTGGCTTTTTTTCTCCTTTGTTACACCCCTGATGCTACAGCCTATGGAAAAGGTGTGCTCCCCAAAAGCCCTGAGCACAGGGCTTTTTCCCCAAAAGAGCCCTGAGCTCTTTTGCATCAGACCCATTTTAAATAAGTTTCAGAGCCCAGCTTATCCCACCAGTGTCGGGTTATTGTATCAGCAAGCAGAGGCATGGACTCCCAGAGGAACAGAGTTTTCCTTGAGGGGCATGTGCCTCATCAGCCCCCCATTACTAGCTGCCAGATGTCTTTCCACTCACTTGATTCCTTTGGTATATTGTCCACCATGTACTTGCTTGTCATTCCTTGCCACGTGCCTATATCAACCTGGATTTCCAAATGCTCTCTGTCAAAATTGGTGTGGCTAATGCTGCCCTCCTCACTCAGCCAGGAAATCTGTATCTTCTAACAGAAAAACAGCACTCTTTGTACCAAACAGGGAACAGCATGTCTGTAATGAACAGAATAACCTAAAACTTTTTTCCAGAGGCCATACCAATTTCAATACCATATCAAAGTTCAGGTAGAACTAACAGTCACAGGTGAGATCTGGACTTGGGTCCCAAGTGATGCTTTGGCTCAGTCCAGACCCGTGATTTGTTCTGTGAAGGTATGCGAATCTACCCCAGGTCTCCCAGCCTTCTGATGTGAACTGTAAGTTTGGTCTTGTGACAAAAAGGAAAGGTGTTGGGTTCAGTTTGGGGCAAAGAACTAATGGTCTTACCATTTTATTTTATTCATTTCATCCTAGTTACTCAACCACCCCTGCCCTAAAGCTGGTAGAAGCTTGGCTCACAGACCATCTCTGTGTATCCACTTCTGGCTGCCAGCCCCACATACACACATATTAAATCTTACCTAATGAGTAATTAACAGGGGACTGGGACATTTCATTTGCCTTACAGCAGCACACACCTCAGGGAATGAAATAACGTTTCAAGGCTGGACACAAACATACATAACACAAAGATTTCGCAGTTTACCTTACAGATGACCACTGCAAAGTCCATACAAAGGAGGAAGCAGATATAGGAGGAAAAGTGCCCTATGGGGCAAGACTCTACATTAACTGGGTAATCAGCAGGCTTTCTATGAAAGATTTTGTATTTTAGGACTACAGTGCGTAGCTGAGATGAAGCACTGCTATTTTTACGTTACAGATTGGAAACGTAGGCACAGATACGAGAAATGTTCTGTACAAGATGGCAAAAGAACTTGGTGGCAGAGCCACAGATTCCCTCTCCTTGCACCTATTTCTTGATGTTTTACCTCCAAGATCTTCCCTCTTACCAGAGGTCTGTGAAGCCAAAGGCAGTTCAGAGGAAGGATCTGCTCACACAGGCATACCAGGATATTCAGACAGAAGCTGGAAATCCTTTGTGGATATGCTATCTCTGGAATGGGACTACGTCTGAGCCCACAGCCCCCCAAAATAGGTGCTCTACTGGGATCCACGCTCCAGAGCTGTAACACTGCCTGTTCTACAAAAAAGATACTCTTACCTGCCCATTCCATAGCTACAGACAGCCTTTGCATCACTGCAGCTGTTTCTCCCCATTCTCCTCATTTTTATGTCATGCTGGTGAAAAACACTGTGTGGATTGTCCTTACCTATGTGCTGGATATGCTGGAGTGATGAAATCTCTCCTCACCTTGCCCGCCAGCACACCTGCACCGGGATGTACTGGGACCAGTTGGAGGGATGGGGAGGGCAGTTTAGTTTGTCTCTCAGCCAAAAATGCAGAGGAAAGCCTGCCAAGTAGAGGAGGTCAGGGAGCCTCGTCCAACCGGCTCTGCAGTGATGCCACACTTGGAACCCACAGACCAGCGCTGCTGATGCAAGTCCAGGGCTGGCTTTCCTCTTGCCAGACTGATTTAGTTTTGTGTTGCTAACATCCGTGCTGCATTTGTATTCAGTAACATACTGTACAGTCTTTGCTTTTCATTTCTTGCATGGTTGGCTCCCATGCCCACCACAGGAGCTGCTCTGTGTCTGCACTGTGAAAGCACTGTACAGGAGGCAGTGATACCAGGCAGATTAGTGCAGGATCCTGTAAATACAGACCAGATAGGAAGGAACATTCACAAAAGATACTGAATTCACGTATTATGGACAACTTTAACTGACTTTGCAACAATAGAATACTTCAAGGTCAATTTTTGGATAAAATTTAAATAGCTACCCAGAATAGATACACAGAATACCCGTGTACCTGTAGATACAGACCCGCATAGCTGGAGGTGCCTCTGATCATTGCAGGGAATTGGGCTGAATGACCTTTAATGGTCCCTTCCAACTCAAACGATTTTACAAAAATACTGAAATGAGTGCATTTCCTGATCTTTGACAGGGATAGCCTATAAATATCTTTTAAGAGCCATGAAAGCATTCAATGAAGACATCAGTTTATATTTATCCCTCAAACTCACCACAAAATGAGTACAGCCTTTTTTTTTTTCTTTGAAAAACAATAGGAAGCAAACTGGTTTATCTTACTATACCTGCCATAAATACCTTTATGGCAAGGTAATTACTAAGTGCATTGTGTTGAACAATTTGTTACTTTGTTAGGGGAACATTTGTCACAGCCTTTGGAGATGGCAGAAGAAAACTCCTCCATGACCTTTGGAAAATTAAATCTGGCATTGCTTAGAAGTCAAAGTTGATAAGCTTGTCTTTAAGCTCCAGAAGCATTTCCCATGCCTCCTGAAAAAGATGCGACTTGCACTTCCACTGAACTGAAGCCAAGACAGCTTATGCCTGCCCTTTTACAGCCATAGAACGGCTTGGGTTGGAAGGGACCTGAAAGCCCATCCAATAACAACCCCTGCCACAGGTTGGGCGCCACACACAAGCTCGACTGCCCAGGGGCCTGTCCAACTTCTCCTTGAGCATCTCCAGGGATGTGGCACCCACAGCTCTCTGGGCCTCACCAGGGCAGAGCAGAGGGGGACAATCACAATCCCCTCCCTCTCCCTGCTGCCACCCCTCTGTTGACAGCCAGGATACTGTTGGCCTTCAGAGCTGCAAGAGCATGCTGCTGGCTCATATCCAGCCTCCTGTCCACCAGGACCCCCAAGCCCTTCTCTGCAGGGCTGCTCTCTCCGAGTTCTCCCAGTTTGTAGGCACTTCTGGGCCTCCAATGCTCTATGCCTACATAGCTTTCAGGGCAAGCAACTGACTGACTGCAGCACTGCAGGGCTCTGCACTGTGCACAGCCCTGCACTCAGCCTCGCAGGACAGAACACCGTGGGCTGGAGAGATCGTGAGCTTGATTGTGTGATACAAACAAAGAGAGAGCCATTATCAGACGCTGCTTTGCTAGGCTATACAGAGAGCCACCTCTGCAGATTGCACAATGCCCTCGGATGTTCCCAGTGCCACAGGGCTGGCGCTCGGACAGAGAGGAAACCGGATCTCCTCCCTCCTTCCCTCCCAGCATGGGAAAGCTCAGCAGAGCTGTTGTATAGGCAAAAAGCCCTCACTTATCTCCTGGGAAAGAGCCACGCCGCTCTGGAGCATCCATGACACACAGTGCTACAGTGAGGGAACAGAGGAACGTGGTGTGGGCCACAAGCATAGAAAGAAGCTGGCTGTTACAGAGTTAACATTGCAGAAGAGTTTTAAACTAAAGGCTGCGGGGAAGGAAGAAATGTGGAAGAACGCTTCATTTGGTCGAAACTTTCAAATCTCTGTTAAGAACAAAAGATAGAAAAAGGGCGGAGGAGTTGAAAACAGAGAAACCCCAATTAAGCCCCTTAAGTAAGTACATAAGCAAGCCCCGATGTGTTGCTCTATCCGTATGCATTTCAGAAGACGTGACACACAGCCACTCATTTTCCATGCCTTAGCTGAAATGCCTCATTTTTGTGGAGGTAGAAAATCTACAGGAAGAGGATAAATTATACTCAAGTTCATCCCATCTGGCAGCCAGGATCTGTTGTAAGATGTAGCTAAGAAGAAATTTCTTCTTGTCATAAGACTGTCAAATTCAATGTTTACCTTTAAAAAAGGGAACCACATGAAAGTGAGGAAATTCATTGAAGTGAGCAGCTAGAAGCAGTAAAGCACTTACAGATGATGTAATGCTGCTTGAAGATGCTGTACAGCAGGCTCAGTGTAAGGAAAAGGTAAGCTAATGTGATTAAAGCATGCAACACTTCTAGGATGAAAAAAGAAATTCTCCAAAAAAAATGAGGTGTTAAGGAAGATGGAAAATAACATGAAATCTGACAAAGTGGATATGAAACTATAATAAAGCACAAGGAAATTAAGAACATGCTAGGGGCATAATACTGAACAAGGAGCTTTTTTCAAGCAGGAAGCTGCTGGAGGGATGGAAGGGGTGTGTGTGCAGATTATGTAAAAGCAGTAAGGCCATCACAGGAGATAAGAATTAGCTCCTTCTGTTGGTGTTCCTGGAGAAACTTCCACACTGCATTACTCTATAAGAGGAGTGGTCACTTATGCACTACACCATCAGCTGCACCAGGCTGAGGCCACTGTGCTTTCTTCGTTTTCCTTATTCCTTATTCCCTTCCTTGTCTCCTTCCATGTGTCAGCACCAGCAAGGTTTCCTCACCATGCTGTGCCTGGGCTGCACTCCACAGCCTTTTATGGGTTTTGTGCTTCAGGCACAAAGCAGCTGGATGCTGTCAGCCTGCTGGGATGACTCATGAAGGTTGGCATGGGCTGGTATTCTTTACCTGATACAAAACTGACACAAAGCAAAACATTCACTCTTTGTGCATCATTGAAGTCCTATATAAATGAAGATAATGAGCACCTCATGAGGTTGCCTCAAAAACTAACTGATATGGCCAAAGCTTTGAGATTCTTGGATACACATACAAATTATTTAAGCAGCTTTTGAGCAGTTCTATTTTAAATGTGAAACAGACACTGTTGCATCAAGGTCCTTTCAATCGGATATGCGACCAAGATGAAAGCAAGGGTCTGGAACTGATCATCTTCAAAGTGGAAGCACCTGGAGCAGCTGCTCAGTGTGGATGCCAATCACCAAACAGGCACTGGAAATACAAAACATTCTGGGTGGTGATTTGTTACATCAACTGTTCTCATCTGAGCTGGACCAGGCTGTGAATCAATACAGCATGGACATTCTGTGACAGACAGAACTGCTGCAATCACTTCAAGTAGGGGCATACCAAAGCTGTATTCCCCTTTCTCAACGTTTCTGCTTATTCCATAATTAAACCATTTAAAAAACTTTGTTTCCCCTACAAACACCTCCCACGAGCAGATACATTTAGCCATTCAGCAGCAGGTCTTAGTTCCAGAAGCAAATTTTTATGACCATTTCTAGTTTTTAAAGGTAGCTCTAACAAGCTTCTCTACGAGCCACAAGGAGAGCCTTTATCCAAGAACAATGTTCTCTGAAAGCAAGCACAGCCTGCAATGCAAATAGATAGCTTTCACAATACTAATCAAAATGTGTTAACACTAATCAAAACAAAAATTAAATTAGGATAACAAGCCTTTGAAGATCTCCTCTTCTTCTTAAACAGATTTAGAATTTCCTTGTCACATGCATCTTTCACACCGAAAATTCAAGTGTTCCTATTCTTCCAAAAGCATGAGCGTGGTCTAAGGGCACTGCAGATTTCTCAGAGTAGAAAGCCTCTCTCCTATCTGTCCCAGCTGAGCTCCTGCACCACGGATGGAGGGCAGGCGAGGTCGGCGTTCAGATTCCTCTCAGCAAAGCTGGAAATCTTGGTAAATGCTTTGGATGCACAGGGTACTTTGCTCTCTACATCCTTACTTGAAATATCACACAATCCACTCATGCCATATGGTCTAACAAACAAGCTTAAGGTTTAGGCTGCTGTTGTTTCTTTAAATTAGACCTTAGGTCACCAACTATTAGGCTTTCAGCACTTTGAAGTTCACACATGTAATTAAATCCAGTTAAATAAAAACTAAAATCCATCTTGCTCCCATACCATCCTGAGTGCTGACCTGAAATAATCCAATGTCATCTTTGCACTTTTCAGTACTGTGCAGAGATCAAGCCATCCCATTTCTCACTTTGGGATTAATAAAGGACTCAGTTAACCGAACCTCTTGACTTCCATGATACATCCAACTCTCCCATTTCCAAATATTCTAGCCACTTCCAGGGCTGTTCTTATTATGGTCTCAAATCAGCCTTGCAGCCTCAAATGCCTCTGTGCCCATCACGTCTCTGTGACAAACAGTTGCTCTTTTGCCAAAGATGCATATGGAAAGCTCAGGGCAAAGAGGAGAATGTGTCTCACTCACTTCCAGCTCTTCGGAGCACCCAGCACCCAACCCAATCACCGCACCAAATTTATTTCCCAGTTTCCCTTCAGTAAAAAGTAGGGGCCAGATCCCTCTGACACCTACCATCATCTTAGCACAGACTTCACAGCCCTCCTGACTTCAGCAAACTCTGCTCAAAGCTCTCTGTTCCCGCCAGCTTTCCTGTGCTCCTGGGCTTCGCAGGGTAGCTGTTAAGGACAGAAATAAATCCTTTGTTTACTCTAGAAACCAAAGAACTGCTTTAACCTCTGGCTAAAAACAGGTGCATTTTCCTATCAGGTTCATGAGTCAGTCATCCCAGCACAGAGCAGTGAGCTTGGAAAGCCCAGAGCTCACTGGAAAACAGGAAAGAGTGACTTTTTAATTGAATGGTGGCAAATGTCATCATCCGGTTTTCCTGGGTGGCTTTTTTCTTTTTAAGTCATGTTAAATCATTGGTTTAACACAGCTCAGTCCTGTTCCTCACACGTTCCTCTCCAGTGTGGTATTCCAGCATCATGCTCACTTTGGGATAGAAAACACTGCCATTGTTGGACTGCTCGGGGTAACAGTGTGTTTAACATGTGACTGCATAAACCGAGCAGGCAATTAATACCTCTGTAATATATGGTGTGCTTGGCCCAGCATAATCAGACTTTCCAGCAGAGAGATTTGTATAAATATATTTGTTTATATGTGAAAACAAAGCGCTCCCTTTCTGTGGAACTGTTTTCACAGAAAACAGGATTGCTTCTTGCCTACCACATGGACAAGAACAACTAAGGAATTCTTAAAAGGTGACCTTCAAAAGTAACTTCTTTTTTGATGAAATAAAAAAAAAACAAAAACAAACGTATTTGCTGCAACACCTTCCCATTCCAACCTTAGCACTAGAAACTCAGGTCTGATTGCCCTGTTTTTCCACAACTGAAGACTTACGACAGCACCCCAAGGAGCTGCTCTGAGGATATTTCCCCACTGCACAGTTAACTCATGTTCTGACTCCACCTGAAATCAGTGGTTCTTGTAATACACAGAGGAGAAACCTCTGACCTGGCCAAGGTGTGCTCCCAGTCCAGACCAGCTTACCCACTTGTCTGTAGAGAGCAATTAGGACTTATCTCTGTTTTGCACTATGAATACAGAACTGAAAATTAAATAACATACAAATCACCCATTTTGTCAGTTTCCCCTAGTTCCGCTGTAGCAACCAGGTGGCTGGGAAAGAATCCTGTGTGAACACAAGAAAAGAAAGGCTCAGTGTCCAGAAATAACACCAACAAGGTCTCAGAAGCATGATGGCTTTGCTAGTGTCTCACTAGGTTAGGGGTTTTTGAAATAAGGAGAGTTGTCATGTCCCCAAGCAGCAGGGATGTTCAGAAGAGTTCTCTGCATGTCTCTGTTCTCCAGAGAAGTTCAGCGAATGAACAGTGAGAAAAAGTCCTGGCATTCTTGGCACTCAAATTAAAGTGGGTAAACGTGCCTTCAACATAACGGAAGAACACATTCTTAAATCCCTCGCAACAGAGCTACAGATGAGTGCAATCATCAAGCATCCCCACTTTACCAAAGCCAGTCTTCAAAGGCTTTCCACTTTGCTTTATCACATTAACCACAAATACTTCCAGTTCCTGTCCATCCCCACTCCATTCATCCCACCTCACCCTGCTTTGGGTCGTTTTGAATGCCATCAGCAGCACTTAGAAAAACAACAAAGTCAATTACCCATATCCATTAACCTATTCCAACTGCACATTCAGCTGGTTGGGTAAGATGCATCCCTCCAAATGAGGACTGAATGGCAACTTTCCATCCCCATGGGCATGGCTTGGAGGTGCCACACAGCTTTCTTGCCACCCAAGCCCACTCCAGGGCAAAAGGAGGAGGCCAAGGGACTGCAGAGCCACACGTCTTGGTGGGACAGATGCAAGAGGGAAGATAAGACAGGTGCAATACCTGTATATGAGAAGAGTCACGTTAATCAGGGTTTTTATGAGTCTTAGAGGTCTACAGAAAGCGTGCAAGAGTCACTTAGGGGTCCAAGTGCCCACTTGGTTTAGTCAGGAGTTAACAGCAACAAGGAAGAAAGATCTACACCTTGCTGAGAAATATTTTTTAAAAACCCAAACAACTACCACTGCTGTTCACCCAAGTTTTGTGAGCCATGAGAGCAAACTTCAGCAGTGAGTGAAAGAGAAATGGTGGTAGAACTGTGCTACTATTCAAAAATATCTCAATCTCAGTGAGGATTAAGTCACGGCTTTCCAATTCTCCTCCATGCTTCTGAGCCCTATGGGATTAGCCCACCCTAAGGGCAGCCATGCACACAAATGCACTGTTATTTCTGGTTTTCTGCTCAGAGGCCAGCTCAGCCTGCTCAGAGCTCTGTACACTCCATACATCATAAACAGACGTGAGAATCCACTCCTGGTTTCACCATCACTGTTTAACCAGCATGATCTCTCCTAACGACAGAGAAAACAGACTGGTCAAAAAAGGGTGCAAAATGATCTTTCTGCACTGCCAACATTACAGATTGAAAGCTCTGGGGAATGAAAAGGTGATATTTCTGTATGCTTTCACAGCACAGAAGGAAAAGAGGTCAATAAAACAGGAAAGCATACCCCGCAGCTGCCATGGTACCAGTCCTACAACGCACATCTTTCTGGGTCACCCAATAACAGCACAATATCGATAAATGAGAGCTAAGAATAGGATGGACACCGAGTGGGGAAAGCAATGACAACAAAGGGGAAGCTGGATGGGAGGAGGCAGGGACTGATGAACATGAGAAAGTTAGGAGCCTGCAGTTAGCTCTGGCCTTGCACCGAGCAAGAGGTGACTGAACCACCGCACGTTGTGGAAAAGAAAATCCCTTGTGCATTCCCAAAACAGCCACCAGCTGCTCTGGCCCTGAGGTGACTAATAACTATTTGACACTTTGTGGCTTTACTGGAAAGTTCATTTATTTTGCTTTATTTTTCCCAGCATAAAGAGGCTCCTTCCCTTGCTGAGTTCCAGAGAAATAAAGAGGGAACTCAAATAACAATTCACTTCAAAGCTGCAAATCTCTCAGAGGTGTTCATGGGAGGAAAGTGGAGAATTTCATTCGGTCTGTACTAAAACATCCCCACTCAATCACGCTCACATCTGGCACCTCAAACACATCCTGCAGCAAAGGGCTCAAGAGCAGAGAACAAGAATATGCTCCAAAGAGAGAAACTGTAGTCTGGTCTTTAACAAAAGATAACGTGAGCTGGGTTTTGTTGTACTGGGCTCTTCTTCAGCTTCTTGTGGCACCTGGGGATGTGGTTAGTGGATATGGTAGTGATGGGTTCACGGTTGCACTAAATGATCTTAGCGGTCTTTTCCAACCTTAATGATTCCACGATCCTAATTGGCCTTTCTGGTTCGACTTATATTTCCCTAGTCTCTGGCTGAAACCCATTACACTTGCTTTCTAGGTTCACGAGAGTACTGTCAGCCTCCAGAACCTCCTGTATTTCTTCTCCAAGCCCCGTTCTTGCATCACATCACCCTGCAGCAGCCCAGAGGTGTCAGTCAGGGAACCATCCTGGGGCACTGACACCATGCCATCAAACAGCCACCGTGCAAAGTCCTTGTCCCTTCCTCCCACAGCCTTCTTGGCACTTGTTCCTACAATTCCCATTTTGCTGGAAAGGAGGAGCAGGAAAATAAACATGACCTGTGCTTCTCCAGGACATGCTTGGAGCCCAGAAGATCCTTTGTCAAATTAGCAAAAGGAACTGGCAGGAAGGAGCCTGTTCTTCCAGCTCTGCCCGTCACCTGATGACAGGAGCAATCGATTCAAAATGCAAATAAAGCGTTACGAAATTAGTCTGTTGTCCTTGAAAAAGGTTTGCCACCAGAGAGCTGCATTCTTTCCCCCCCCCCTTCCTTTTCTTAGTAAGAAGTTCTGAAAACAGAAACGTCAGCTGAATCACCCGGAGGTGCTTAGACTGCAAGTTTCTCAAAACACAATAGTGAGGGCTGAGATTGTGAGAAGCTGGAGTCAAGTAAAAGAAAAAGGATAGAATCATGACGGCCCCTTCTTCCTCCCAGTTTCTCAGCATCCTTACTTGCAATATCAGCAGAGATACAGAAACACCACAGAGGCAATTCAGGAAGCTCAGAAATGTCAACTTTTGATCCTATCGAGTTTGCATTTTCAAACATGACTCTTATCAAGTGGGACGGGGAAAAAAAATCTTAAAAAAAAAGCAAAAACAAAACAACAATAAAGAAGGAAACCACCCACAAAGCACAAACACCACAACTCATGGTTTCAAAGTGAGCGTTTCATGTAAACCCAATTCCCTGTTTTGTGAAGTTGCTGCTGAGAAAAGCTCCAACCCCAAAGTAACTCAATTATCACATTTTCAGGCCTGAAGTTCTCAGGACTTCTAAAATTTGGGGGAATTTACATTCTTCCCCTCCTCCCCCAACTTCCTACCCTGCTACAGCAAATCAATCCTGCCTTCAGTGCTGATGGTATTGAATAGGCAGGGAAGGAGAACCTATCCTGATTTTTTATGGCTTTGTCCTCAGTCACAAAGACCAGATGGGCAATTTCAAGCAGAGTGATTTTTATGTCTGAATGGGAAACACACAGAACAAGTGAGCACAAAAGCCAACCTTCTGCATTGCAGTTCCCTCCTACGGCAATCCTCAGAGCTGAGCACAAAAAGCATCCCTGCCCCTCCAGATCCCTCGGAGAGGGAAACATTTGTAACACCGCAGTGCCTTGTAAGAAGACATGGCATAGTTAAATATAGCAAGCTCATAAACCAGCCTCTTCCTTCACAGAGGATACAGGATGGGTGAATGGCAAAAAGCTGAGCTCAGCTAATAGATATGCAGCCAATCCTTTTTCTCTTGTGCAGGGTCTCACGTGCACACATACTTGGTGTGCAAGTAAGATGGTGCAAGATTATTTGCATTCAGTCATTACCTCTTGTTGGATGGCTATAACAGGAAATAAACATTTCTACAAGCATATTTCACTCCACTCTCCAGTATTTCTGCCCGTCCCTTTGCTCTGACTTAAACAATTATTTCTACACTTACACGATCCTGATACTAACAGACTCACCTATACTGATTTAACCATTGTAAAGAGATTACCTTCAGCTAATCCTCATTGTCCTATAGAAACAAATTAGAGCAGCATTTGAAACAGATACAAGACGACTCAACCTGTCTGAAGCCTCTGTTGCCTGAATGAGTATCTTCTCATTGCTTCCCTTTTCAAAGCTCAAACAGGACATCCAGATCTATATAACCCTTCACAATTCATGCCCATAACACAACACAAGTTAATTAACAATCAGTTTATACTAAGAAAGTGTTAAGTGATTTCTGACTATACCTAAAGAACATAGGCAGGCGTAATACGCTGTGCTCACTTGAAAATAAATAAATAAATAAATAATAAAAATATATCAGATTTCAGACTGAAAGACTTGTGTTATTCCATGGGCTAAGACTAGGTCTATGATAGCTCTTAGACCTTTTGATTCTATGATTCTGGAAGTAAACAGTCTCCCTCTATGGCACCACCCACCAAATCCACTTTCCAGTGTGAGAAAATGAAAGGGTTAATTTCTCTGTCTCTGGTTAACCTTTCCAGGCTATTTAGTTTCCTTTCCGACTCCATCCCATCAGAGGCATGTGAGGTGAAGGATAGAATTACAGACTGGGCATGTTTCCTGTACTTAGTGGGTGGATAGAGCACAACTTCCGCACTAATAATGTCAAGGTAATTAGGACATCCTGCAAAACCTGTAACAGGGAAGAAATAACCATTGTTTATTGTCAGTTCTGCTGCTGAGGTGGTGGGTTCCTCTTGTAACTACTCTTGCCTTTCTTTTTGAACCCATCTCTAACTTATTGGAGATACAGTTGGGCCAAGTCCAGGAGCCCTGGGAGTCTCACTACAGCCCTGCACTAAAATCTAGTCTGTATTGAGCAATCACCAGAGAAGAACAAACCACACCTGTAGATCTGAGTATGTGTGATATTAAACAGCAATTCAAACTGAGATAAAAACGGGCAAGTTTAGCTCATCTGATTATGTACTTGTGCATTCTTTAATTAAAGGCCCTGCTGTGAAAGGGACCCACAAAGGTCACCACTGTCCAACTCCTGGCTTCACAGAGAACCATCCCCCCCCCCCAAAAAAAAAATCAAACTTCACATCTGAGAGCATTGCCTAAACTTCTTGAACTGCGGCAGCTTGGGACCATGACCACTGCCCAACCTGACCCACCCCTAACATATTTCTGCACCATTCCTTTGGATCTATTGCTGGTCACCAGGGAGAAGTGCAAAGACCTTTGCATCACACAGTACAAAGATATGAAGTTAGATTATTTTACTAATTTTATCCCCCCAAAAGGATTGCAGGTACCAAGGTCAAGCCTTGCCCTCCATCTAGGTACCTCATTCCCAAAGCTTTAGAATACAACCTGGCTTTACACCAAAGGCTATGCTCACCAAAACTCGGGCATTTTAGTGTTTGCACCACAACCTCCACTCAACCACCCAGCTGCAACTGAAGTGGGAAACACCTCTCCTAAGCAGGCAAACTCAGGTGCAACTGACCCACCGTTCCTCCCAGCCCAGTCTTAAGGGCCTGATGCCATCACTGACACCTGCATCCATTCTTCATACAAACACCTGAGCCACCAGGTTGCAGTATCATATCTCTGGATCAGTGGTTTGTCAGGGTGACACAGTCTCAACAAGATGGTTCAGTAGTATGTCTCTCACACTGCCTTCTTCCACAAAAGAGACCCCTGTCTTGTGGCTGTGACAACTCTTGGGCTGCTGAGGATGGGCTCTTGAAATTCCCAAAAAGGGCTCTCCACTCTCTGCATCCCAGAGAAAAGCCCCCGAGGACAGCAGCACCAACCAACCTCCGAAGCCAGCAGCCCCTTGAGGGCAACACGGCAACACAGCAGGATAAGATTTAAATTATTCTGCTCGGTGTTTCCTACTGCCTCCCCTAAAAAGTTTCTGTCTTTGACAGGCTTAAGTGAATGTTATTTAGGGCCAGGAGCTCTTTTTCTGCTCTTTGGGAAGTCAAACTTTGAATGAAAGTAACAAGATTTTCTTGTGGGACCGGGAATGTAGTTGGAAGAAAAGCAGAGAAGCTTTGGATACCTGAAGCTTTTTAGCTCTTTTTCAGATCTCCATTTCACAAGATTTTTAGCAGCACACACCTGACCCTGCAGGTTTCTCATGAACTGTTTCTCATCTCACTAAAAATATACCCAAGATGACAGGATTGCATGGGTGCGATTTTGGGAACCCGCCCCAGCCCAGGTGTCCACATTTGCAAGAGGGGACAAATGGGAAATGAGACAACTGTGAGACCTTGTGCAAGTCTCTGCCTCTCAGAAAAGATCCTCACTTGGCTGTTCTGGCTGCAGTCGTCACAGCCTGTGCATACAGGCAGATGCCAGCACAACCCGTCCCTTATCACAGGAAGCAGCTACGTGGTCAGATGCAGACAGTCATATGGCAGCTCAGCCGTGCTGGAGAGCTGCTGGGTTCCTGAAGCCATTTAGACGCATTAGCAAGGACCATCTCAGCAGCATTTAAGCCTTGGCAAGGAAAGTGACTGGCAGGCATATCCTTGACTGGGGCCATGGTTACTAATTCATGTCCATGCTGCCCAGCCAAAAGGGCCGTATGTCCATTACAGAATACAGATAATGATCTGTTAAATCATTGCTCTTTCCTTTTGTAAGATTTCCTGTCTGCTGGGTGCTGATGTTTGTAAGCGCTGCAAGGAAAGCAACATTGATTTTTCCTCAGGTGGAGGATTTCAGGATGCCACGTGCCTCTTGTTTACTCCTCCAAACACTTCTCTGAGAGCCGTGGCTTTGCACACATTGTAAGCACAGCCTGCATCAATATCCGGAGGGGAACTGTGATTCTTAATTAATGACAGAGTCCTTCTAAAGGTGTCTCAATTAAACTTGTACATCAGGGCATCCGTGTGCTGGGAAATTTCCCATTCCTCTCACATGGAACAAGCTGTTGCCATCTGCAGAAGATACTGACAATAATGCTGAGTCTAAATTGATAAACACACCGCTGCTGGGCTTGTGGAGAGAGCTACCTGTTATACATGCCTTTCCCAAAGGGGCCTGTGTATGATGAGGTCCTGCACTTGCTTTTCAGAGCTGCTAGGTTTTCTAACTGCACTTGTGATCATCATCGAAATCAGAGTGTGCATTTCAGATGGGAGGAAGAAGAGGGGAAAGTGGATCTTAAGTTCTGAAATAATTAAAGATGGCTCTGAAAGAGTTTAAAAAAAGACGAGATGGTGAAAATAAGTAACAGCAAAAGTCAACACAGAATTGCTAGCTATCAGAAGATAATGGTGGTTTGTAGCAGTGCTTTTCACCCTGTAACATGACATTGGCGTCGAAAGTCTGGTCTACACTTAGAATTTGCTAGCATAATTATACTGCTAAAAACACCAGTGTAGCTCTGTTTGGACACACTTATTTCAAAATAAGAACATTCATATGGGGTGGAAATACTGGTGTAACATAAGGTATAATTACAGTGGTAAACGTCCCTGTGCAGACAAACCCTAAGGAGAAAAAGTTTGTCTGCTCCATTGTGTGCACTGATTTTAGAAGCCACCTCTGACCCACAGTCTAAAGAAGGAGCACACCCACCTCAAGGACAGGTCCCACTGCCTGCATGCTTCTCTATTTGCCAGTTTTGAAACAAAAAGCTGAATCTTACAGGAAAACTCACCTTTCCACAAAAGTCTGGAAGGAGGAGGTTTATGGCCAAAGTGACTAAGTGACAGCAATGCCTTTGGTCTAGCTCACTGCTTCCTCTTTACAGCTGTAACGTGGGAACAAAGCTGTGGGATAACTGGGGGTGGGAGAGACGCAGGCATGGTTGGTCCAGGCAGTGTCTTTCCCTCAAAGAGAGAGAATTCTGAGCACAATGCAGCCTGTGCTCCCAGCCTCTGGAGGAGTGAGGGCCGGAAGAGGTTAATGATTGACCCTAACCCACTGCCTGAGAGTGGGCTGGATTGGGGCTGAGGCAGCAGAAATTCGTGCTGACGGGACCAAAGGGGTCACCTACTGATGGACTTCAGCTCTATGCACGCTCTGAAGAATGTCCCTGCTGACAATGTTGCTCAGGCCACTGAAAAGGTAAGTACCTCATTGGGCTGCTCTGCTGCAGGACTTTTCAGCCAGTTTTCCCTTGAAAATGAATGATTTCAGCCACGGAACTTAGGCACTGTAATCCCAAAGGCCATCTGTGAGCAGCCCATGGATCTTCCTGCCAGTGCCTTGCTCAGCCCAGCCCGCAGTGACACAACACGTGGGTTTCAACCACTTCCTTTGCAACACTGCCTCATGGATCTTCCCACCAGGAATGCCATTTCCCTTTGCTAAGCTCTTTGTGTTATTTCAGTCATATCCAAGGAGCTATTCTGCTGCGTGACTCAGCCCTTCAAGACATGCGGCTCCTAAGAGAGGCAGGTGTAGGCTTTTAGTCCCAAGCGTATTGCACCAAAACCAGTAGAAAGTATTAAGAGAAAGGACAGAAATGCTCTCTCTGGACCCAGAGACTTTTTACTACTTATTTGTGCCAAAGGACTCTGGAAACAAAGGAGAGAGGTCGCAGCCTGGTTAGAGACAGAATTGGTTCTGCTCAGTGATCTCTCCACTGAGACCTTCAATTGCTCCCTCAGCTAACTTCTGAACAGAGAAAAGTTACTCTGAGTTCTTCAAATTTTTGGGTAATTTGTTCTCAGAGCTGTGTCTGCCCCCAAGAACTCGGAGGTGTCGGGGAGGCATAGGAAAGAGCCTCTGGCAGAGGGAGTTTTCTGCCTGTGCTCTGGCAAATAGAGCGTGGCGGGACATGGTGAGTGGGAGAGGCCTACAAATAATACTGCGAACATAGTTTTGTGAATTTATCAGTGGAAACCCCTCAGGAGAGAAGTGAGTCACCAGAGGGTTTCACAGCAGGCTGCAGACATCACTCAGCTGTCAGAGAGGAAGCAAATTCCCTTCATTTTACAGCGCTAAGCAAGCGGCACATTTGCACATACGTTATGTCAGGAAAGAGCACCTAGAAGGGATGACTGATGCAAGCAAGGCAAAGCTCTGCAAGGACACTTTTTTAGAGGCCCTCTTACATTTTGCAGGGCTTCTTGACTTCCAGAATGCCTCATCTTGCCTCATTTGTTGCCTGCAGAAGGAGCCCAGCTGGAGCACTCAGACTGGGCTGGGCTTCAGCCCCTGGCTGACACCTGTGCTTGTGCTCAGCTGCCATTGGCTTTCATCAGACCAAAGTCACACAGAATATGCACATATTTTTAACATAATCCCTCAGGATAGAAGGGGAAAAGTCTTCTCTACACAGTTATGGCAGCTTTGCATAGCTCCAGGTGGTGAGAAAAATCTAAATGTGCCTTTACAAAAGCAATTGCAGGAGAAAAGTGTCCCATCACTGATGTCAGGCCATGATCAGCACAGCACTCAGACCTTGCTTATTAAGGTACTGTGGGTGCCAGGAACATCCAGTAGTTCCCCTGGCTCTTCAAAGGAAGTGGCAATCTCACTGAAGACATTGGACACTGTTATTGAAACTTCTTGCATAGAAGAGACAAGAAGTAGAGCCATTCCCCACCAGGTGACCCTGTAAGAGGCACCCTGTACAGACATACTTACAGACTCAACAGATAACTTTGCACGCCCACAAACACTACAGGAGCTCTGTCCGAGTCCCTTGTCCCAGCTGTTCGCAGCTTGCAAGATGCAGAAAGAGCAGCGACTCCTCTTTCTTCAGCTCTGCATGAGAGACTCACAAAGTCACGTCTGTGCAGAAAAGCTGTTCCCGTTACACCCTAAATCAACACCTCGACACGATCCTGAGCTGGTCCCCCCCTGCAAGGACAGCAGCACGACCCAGCGCCACCTAGCCACCTGCCGCCGAAACGCGCCGCACCTCCTGGAGCACGAAGTGCCGTGCAGGCAGGAGTTGCCCCCTAAAAGCTCGCGGACATCACCAAAACCAACGAGTAAAGCTGTGCTGCCAGCTCTGCCCCCGACGTGGTACAGCAGCTTGGTTTGGTGTTTGTTAAAGGCTTCCTGACCCACCCTGGCCCCTTCATGTCAGCTCTGCTCACAGACGGACTTTTGTACATCTTTGTTACCAAAAGAAAAGAGGTAATGAGGGGCTGTCACAGTTTCAGCTAACTTTCATTTCAGGCTTTGTAATTCCTCTGAATCAGAAGCAAGAAGTGAAACCGTAGGATGGGGGTGCAGTGTAAATCCCCAGATAGATCCAATCTGATGAGAACCAGTCTCCCATCAGCTCTGCAGTGCGACATGAGCTACACCACAGCTGGACCTTAGCAAGAAAGTCACAGAATCACAGAATCATAGGGGTTGGAAGGGTTCTCTAGAGATCACTGAGTCCAGCTCCCTGCTAGAGCAGGTTCTCTACAGCAGGTAGGAGAGGAGACTTCGTAAACAAGTCTGAGCAGGAAACTTGGTCGGCACCTGAAGATAGGATGGCTATGACATGCACGGAAGGCGAATCAATGCTAACACACACTAGCAGCTTTCATTAAAGGATTTAATGGTCAGTTTAAACCAATCTGAGTCTGCTTCCTTCCTGCCATATATTGCCATCAGCTCTCTTGTATGGGTACCAGTCATCATAGGGTTTGGTGCTGTGCCAGACCTGCTTGCTGATCCAGTTGAAAAACAGCCCTGAAAGTAAAATGTCCTCAGGCAGGCAGGAGGCGAATCCTTTCCAGCCCAAGTGCCAGCACTGGGAAGGGAGGTGGCAGGAAGATGCAGCCTGGTGTTTGGACTGCTTCTTTTGGAACAGATCTAAAATACGAATCCACACTCCTGGCAGAGGAGAAATCATTTAGTTCTTAACAGGTGGCTAGTGGTACATACACAAGTGTCCCCACTGAGTACACTTACCTCAGAGATGAACTTTCATGAGAAACATTAGAGATTACATACAGGAAACAAACTGAACTGCAGTAGCAACATAATATTACCACCTGTAAAGTCACAGGTCTAGGTGCTGAAAGTTCACTCTGTCAAACCAAAAAATAAATGCAGGTAAAATAAGTGTTTGCTTCATCATCTGCAATCCAGCCTGTTCTGTGTGTACTAAGGCTTCCCAGCTTTGATAAGGAACACATCCAAGGTAGAGCAGTTTACTTTAAAAAGTGGCTGAGACAAAAAGTCTTTGGGGATTGTATATATATATAAATAAGTGTGTGTGAGTGTGTGGGGGGGAGGTGTACAAGAAGAACATCATACACTACACAACTCCTTCTCACCTCACATGAGTAAAGGCTGCCAAATTTTAGTGGAAGAGGCTCAGTGATATCAGATTTATCCTTTTCATTATAGTGAAAATCAGTGTGGGCAGTTCTGTAGATCTGAGCTGATGTGAAGCACCAGAAATTGGTTTCTGAGTTTACTGATCTGGAAAGACCAAATTTTAGACAATGTGGGAGTCTAAATGATGCCAGTTAATCACGGATGTTCTGCAATTCTGAAAAGAAATGACCCAGCTTAGTTCACTGGTCACCAGAAATCAGATGCAAAACATTGTACCCTAAAGCTGCAAGTCAAACCAATACATGGTTTATTGTTTTGCTTCCCAAATGAACGTCATCCTCTTTAGAAGGGAAAGCTGCAAGGGAAACAAAACAGCTACTTCTTTCTGCTTTTTGAAACCATACTTTCAGCACTCACTTCAGAGTCCTGAGCCCTGATGCTCTCTACCCATAGGGCTGAACATAGGGCCTTCCTTTCAGCAAATGATTCAGCTCTGTCCGGATGGTCTCACCTAGCAGAGACATAGCTTAGACGTGAGCCACTCAGGCATTTCCTTTCAGACTGTCAGTACAGATGCCAGTCAGTGCAAGGGGCGCAGACAGTTTCTTGCAGTGTGGAAATGCTGCTCCCAAGGAGCTCCGTGGGGGCTGTTTGCACGTTTCACATATCAGTAGGCACAGCCAAGCCATGAGAGAGTGACTCGGCACGGCCGGCTGTGTTTGTCCCCAGGGCCACAGTTTCTTAACTGTGGGATGTGGATGAAACTGCTTTCGCCAGCCCTCTCTCCAGGGAGACAAGGTAACAGTTCAACTCGTACCCGTGAACACCCAGGCGATTTTGAGAGACGTGGTTTAATGGCAAGGTGGTGGGGGGTTGGTGGTTGGACTAGATGACCTTGGAGGCCTTTTCCTCTTAATCGTTCCATGATTCTACAACTTGCTGGGCTGGCAGAAAGCAAAATGAGACACTCCCAATTCAAGTTATAACCAATTGCACATTTAAGAATTTGGCCTTTTGATTTGTAAATGTTTCTTTTTTTTTTTTTTTTTCTTTTTTTTTCTTTTTTTTTTTTTTTAATTTGAAAATAATTTTAGGGCAATCTGGAACCTGTGCTTCCCCATACACTGGAAAATCAGAAACACAGAGTGTCAGCTCCAGCCTAACTCCACAGGAGAATTTGGTGAGGAAACCACTGACAGGACACAGCATTTCCAGCATGTCAGAAGTCTGAGCAATTGTGGATCACCTCCATGTTATAAGCAGAGGTAACATTGGTGGAATTGCTTCTGTGAGTGATCTAAATCCATGCCATTGGAGGAGAAAGGCTCTAGCCTTGATTCTGACATTAAGGTTTGTTTCCATCAGGTCCACAACTCCAAGTGAGCCAGGAGATCTCTCCTAACCACCCATTTAGTTACTAGCCCCTAGCACACCACTTGAGGTAGTGACACAGCAAACTAGCGAGGGATTCAGTGTCACACCATGAATCAGGTAGAGGTTCATTCAGGGGGGCGCTTATTTACAATTACGTCAGAGCAATTCTGTTAGGGCCAATTATTTGAAAGTTACTAAGCAGACAGGCAAGCAAACACAGAGAAAGGTGGACATTTGGGTAGATCCTCTCTATTTAGCAAGAAGGATACAGAAGTATTGGCCTGGCAGCAGCCTTTTCAATATAATAACATCACAGGGACAGGAAATGCATGCTGTTTTCCAGCATTGAATTTCTAATTCTGGCATCTTGCTTCCTTCAAACAGTTTTTGTCTTGTGTGTAGCTGCACTAAAGCATTATTATCTTTTGAAAGCCTGGCTTGCAGCTTTTTGTGCTCCAGCCGAACATGAGCAGCTTTTTGGCTTTGTAAGGAGCAGTATATTACTGCTCTGTCATCAGGGAAAATTGAGAAATTTCTTTAGCGACAGAGGAGTTTCAGAGGGAGAGAGGGAGGAAATACAGCTCTGCAGCTTGCTGTGGGCTCTGCTGGTTTCGTCAGTAACTGTACAGCTCTTATATAATATCTTTGGGTAATAGCCAGCTCAGCCTCACAGAAATGATGTGGTCAATTTTTTCTTTTTTGAAAACAGAAGAGGATTTGAATATAGCTGATAACTTCGGGCAACTGGAAGAAAGACAAAGACAGTGCAGTTAAAGTTGCAGCTGGCATGCATGGCCTCTAAAGGGAATCTCTGAGAAAGTGACTTTGTCATTGTCTTCCTTGGCTACAAATGGCACAAGTATGACCAAAGCTATGATGGCTAAGAATCTGAAAACATACTCAGCACACTCCGTACAGTTTGGGGAATCCCAGCCATACTCAGCACAGGGGCACAGTTTGCACAGTGGAATGGAAATAAGTATTGCGTTGTACAAAACAGCAGCAGAATTGCAGGAAGCTTTACAGTATTACAGCCCTCTCAGTTAAAAACACAACCGAAGGAACCCACACCCCTGATCAGTGTAGTCACACTGATCCCCTCCTCACATTTCCCCCACTTAGAACACTACACCAGGTGAATATCGGTCAGGCGAGCACCTTGTGGGAGTGCCTGTGACTTGACATGCCAAAGTATTTGGAAATTACTGCATAGCAAGAAACCCCATCTCAGTGAATGCCAGAGCCAAAAATACCCCAGCATTGCATCATACCTGCAGTATTATTTATGGCTTGCATATTTACCTAGAGGGAAAAAGGAGGCTCTTCTATTGTGAATTATTATTATTATTATTATTTACTATTTATTTTTTTTTTAACTTCAAAATGTCCACTGTTCCAGTGCTGAAAGCTCACTTGAGCTGCCCCTGTTGATGTTCTTCCCTGTTAAAACTGCTTTGGTGGGGTAACTGTCACTGTATTTGAAGATGGCAATTCCTTTCACTGATCTGTTTAGGCAAACCAAGCATATGGCACTGTAATTTTGGGCTTATTGAGCAGATGACTGATTTGAATAGCCTGAAATCTGTCTCCAATAACCACAGTATCAGTATCAAATTATACTATTCCAGGATATACTGCATATAGATGCTTTCTTGGTCCCTTCAACTGCACCTTTGGCAAAACCCAATGCATGTTTGGAGCTGTCATGCTGACATGTGAGTAGGGTGCAGTGTCATCAGGGACTTTTCAATACCCAGACATATCAGCTGGCACCAGGAAGGAGAAAGGAAGTGGTGAAAAGTCATTCCTTCTGGTGGCATCGAACCTTGAGATTGCATCATGTGAACAAGAACAGCCTCACAAAACCCTTTGTGCCTGCCTGGGGATTTTGATTTCCATTTCTCATTTATGAGCTGCAGCTGAATTTAGTTTCAAGCTATGACATTCCTCTCTCTTATTTGTTCCCATCTATATTCTTGGTTCGTCCCAAATTAGCCTATGGCCCAACCTAGACCATAACAGTCAAGGACTCAGTTACGACCTGTGCTGCAATCAGATCTGGGAACAAATGATTTCCGTTTGGTGGTGCTGATGGCAACTGTGCCCCTGAAAACCTGAATCCAGGGAAATCCAGATGGTCCAATCACCCCACGGGGTGGGGGAAAGGAGCTGTGCTGGCAGAGCTGTTTCCACGCTGTTGTGTTGGACTATTGCGAGTGCAAATTTCTTTCTTTGTCCTTTAACCCAGCTCACATACACGTTTTTGGTGGGTGGCATGTTTGGCTATCACTCTTATTGTTCCTCTGACTGACAGTTGGCAGAGGTTGGTGGGTGATTTTCATCACAAAAAGGCTTTTGTTTGGTACTCCTTTCCAACTAGCAGATGAGAAGCAAAGACACACAGCAATATCCAATGAACATAGTACAGTTCTTTCCAGGGAATTTTTTTTTAAATCTTTCTCTGTAACAATAATAGCATTTTCGCCAAAGTGTACACATTTCTGGAGAATGAATTTATATCTATATCTATATCTATCTATATATAAAATTGGTGTTACTCCTCCAGAATAAACGTAGATCTTTTTTTTTTCCTTTTTTTCCCCTATCTGCTGGGAAGATTGTTCAGTTTGAATAGCTTTCCAATAGAATTTCAGAAAGAAGATGAACAGACTGAACTCAAGTCTCAGCTTCAGATTCCCCTAACAAGTCTAAGCAAATTCAGCTCAGGTATCAATCTTATGAATCTAAACAAAACCAACTTCCCCATAGTGCTATGAAATATGTGACTACTGCTTGCATTATATAAAAGATTATTCAAATTTTCCTTGCAAGGAAAACTGTTTGCCTAAAGTCACAAGAATATTTTGGTAAAGGCAAGAATAAAATCTGATTTCTCATCTTCCAGTCTGCCTTTTAGAGAGCTGAAACAAAGCAAGCACTCTGGGGATGGAGATATGCAAACTCCAGACCAAACTGAGAATAGGAGGGGAAGCAAATTTGACATTGAGACAGGACAAATATTATCTTCCTTATGGGAACTGTACTGCTAAGTCTCTTTCCAGCAGATGCTGCAGCTCAAAGAAAAAGCTGATCTTTGTTCCTTTACCTTGGAAGTGCTGGGATCCCACAGGCAAAACTTGTGCACCAGCGCTTCCCAGCCCTTCACTGGCATCCCAGGAGAGTTCTCATCTGACACCAATAAATCCATTCACGCCAGATGGTTTTCAAATATGCATCAGCAAATATTTAAGGTGCGCTATTCCTTTTTAGGAACAACGGTTCTCTACTACTTAAAGAAATGCCAATTAGTGAAGGGATAAAAGATGAACTCAGCAGAGGAGTCAAAGGAGCGTGCGATTTGCTCTGGCATCTCACTTCATAAATCAGTTCAAGATTTTAATGGAGGGAAATAATTCTTTAGCACACTGAAATGCATTCAAGAAAGCTTGATTTCATCCTCCCAGCCCTGGGGGCTGGAGCCCATTGCTCCAGGCTTCAGGACACTGGGCAGTGCTGGCAGCACACCTGGCTCTGTGCTCCTCCAACACCACAGCACTAGCTCCAGCCCACAGTCTTGCTTTGTACTGGGGTCCTTGCCGTGACATAGTCTGGAAGATATTTTTATCTTCCAGATATCTGCCTTCCTCTGAGCAAAGCTACACAAAATGACTACCTGCCTGCTGAAGGAAGAGCAGATCAGTGATCCTTAATAATGCCGTTTGGGTGAATATTGTTATATTATTTGTCAGGGAACTGACTGGTACTGATAGCACTCTGTTTTTTCAAGTCTGTTTGGGAGGGGCTGAGGACATGCAGTGGGAGGCAACAAGTGCCTCCAAGTGGAAGAGGCGTGTGAACTGCCAGCCGCTGTGCTGTCAAGTGACTGATGAAGACCATCCAGAGCTCGCCTGCTGAGCAGTGCCTCCAACACTGTCCTGGGCTGAGCTGCCCTGTGCTCCTGGGCACTGTGAGACCAGAATAGAGACCATGCAACACTTAGCAGGGATACCCCTGCCCTCCCACAGGGCCCAGGGTGGCCACTTACCTCCAGTCACTGTTAGTACAGTGGCTTGCTCAGGTTAGGTAAAAAATCCATCTGTAATAACCTGTCTTCGTTGGAGAAGACCCAGAGCCCCTCCTACACAGCATCTATAGGAAAAAAATAGATTCAATTGCATTGGTCTCTGAGGATAAGTCCTCAGAATAAAGCCTGGGCCTGCTTAACTTAGCAGGCATTAATACTGACAAGAGTGCAGGGTTCATCAGTCAAGCTAATTTGTTGAACATTACCGTGCTGTTGCTTATCTGGGATAATCTTTCCTGCTGGGAGAGCAGCAGCAGGCTCACTCATGGGTGCCCCTCTAACACGAGCTAGCTTTATCTTCCAGCCACTGCTCCGAAGGCACTGTAATGTTTCTGTTAAAAAAAACAGTCACAGAGAGGGAAAAAACTATACTGGGACCCTTTCTGTTTCTATTCCACAATGCACCAAGGAAGGCTTTTGTTGTCTGTGCTGTAACTGTTTGGTTCCATCAGCAGAATCAGCAGGCATCAAGGTGAGTGAAGCAGAGGGGTTGGGAGCAAAATGGCTGTGAATCCTGTTTTTGATAGCTCTGATTTTCATTTATTTTCCCAATACACACCTGGGAGAAGAAGTTGTGTGGGAGATTTCTCTATGCCTTCCATCAGGAGCTGAGAAAACTTTTCCTCATTGATTCATTTGTGAAATTCTCCTGCAAAAACTGCCTGAAGCCTTACACGGAACGTGCAGTAATAAAAGAATCCAAAAGTAACCTTCCCTTGACAAAGCCTTCAACAAAGGCAGAGTAAAACACGAGAACAGACTGCTTCAACAGGGCACCATTCATGGCAACAGAGAAGGGGAAGGGCTGAGGGACCACGCATTCACTGAAGCATATGGTTACCAATTTGCTGGACATACGCTGTAATTCCTGACAGGGCACAGGAGGGCTTTTGGATTAAAGGGTGTAAATCATTGGTTATCAACATAGAATTAAGTTCTATTATAAATGTACAGACTCTAAATATATACCTTTTCCTCCCTGGAGATCTCTTCCCCTAGCTGTACTCAAAAACCACAAATCACAATGTGCATTGCTTTTAAGAAAGAAAATGATAATAACTGTTCACACAGAAATTTTTCCCCTTTGCTGCTTACTTTTGTTGTGTGTGGGGAAGGATAGAAAATGGGAGTGAGGGGGAGAGGAAGAAGAAAGATAGGAAAGTGTCTCGGGATGTTTTATCCCACAATTTCCACTGGGAGCCATTGAGCACAGATGTGCTTTTACACCACAGCAGCACCTAATTATTTTTCAGGACTGCTGTAATACATGTTTAGGAATCTCTGAATAATAGAACCATATGGTAACATTGTCAGAAGGAGAAAATAGGAACCCAGTAGGCTGGGGGAGGGAGAACGCATTAGAAAGTGCTGGCTGTAAATAGAAAACAATTTGTCAAACAAAGAATGAGGAAAGGGCAGGAATGTGATTTTTTTTTTAAGATAAAAATTTTGTTCACATTCTTCAGAAAAGATTCCAAGAATCTTGTTCTTTGTTTCTCAGCCTTTTTGCTAGAGTCGTTCCCAGAACATCTGTCCTGTGAGACTGAATGCAGTGCTATTGCAAAAGTTTTGGAGGACAGAGGAGCTTTACATCGGTGCCAGAGAAATGGCTATGAAAAGCACAGAGAGCACTGGATGTGCCTTTGGTTGTGTGAGGTTAGAAAACACCTCTGGAGCAGGCAGCACCCTCAGAAGCACATCCATACAGGAATCTGGTACCGCTCCTCCACAGGCCTTCAGCAACACCATCATTCATCTTCCAGTTGCCAGTTCCAACTCTGAAGCCTTGCCTTTCCCCTGTAGGTGCAGGAAGGCATTTCTCTGCCATGATGCTGTACAGGAGATCCAGGTGTCTCCAGCTTTGCAACCATATTAGTGCAGATTTGAAGCTGGTTTCCTGAAGAAGGTAAGTCAGGACCCACTGAGGGGTCCAGCTGCCAGAGGCACACTGAAAGAGCTCCTTTTGGGCCCAAGAATTTCCTCCTGTGCCTGGAACATGGAGCTCTCATAGAGCTGTGCATGTAACTCTTAACATATACAGAAGGATATAATCTGATACGTCCATGATGGTAACAGCTCTACTTTGTGCTGTAATAATGGTTCACTGGGAACCTACAACCTTCCCCTGCTCTGCAGTTCCAGACTACAGAGCACTACAAGATATCCCAAACATTCAAAATCTTCAAACTCTTGCTGGATGAGATTCTCAGGAAGAAGAGAAATGCCCAAGAAAAAAAACACGTTTGGCAGTGAGTAAAATCATGCTGAAAGATTACCAAGGCTGAGCTCCATTTCCCTACCATGAGAGACATCCTTATTGCAAAGTGGACAGGTCAGAGCTTAGCTTAAAAGGCAGCCTGGGCCCTAATCTGCATAGCCAGGTGGGTTAGAGAACACACAATACAAGCGTGTGAGCACTGGCATAATGGTTCTTTGTCTCAGTGGTTAAAGGATTTAGGGAAGTTTCCCGGATAAACCTACAACACAGCACCAAGCACAAAGGACTCACACACATGCAAGAGGCTTTCTCTTTTTTAACCACTCTGTTTGGGGTTAAGCGACTCCACGTGGTACTCATGCACACGGGCACTGTGCTGCAGGAAATCCACCAGCTGCAATCAAAGAATCAGAAGGTGACTGGAGCTGCACACAGCAGTGGAAGGAGCCTCTCCTGAACAAATGGATGCCACTACAGTGATCACAACGTGCCCAGCATGAGGCTGGGACGGTGGTAATCGTGCAAAGTGCTCTCTATTCATCATCCCTTACCGAAGCTGTGTTTTTGATTGTGTCTTTCAAAAACACATCAGGGCCACTTCTTCCTGGCCCTCAGCAAGATGCAATTTTCTCTCTCCTCCTGGAGAGCACATTTTAATCAACCTGCAAAGGACCAACACATTTAATTGGCCCAAGGAGCTAATTTGAAATCGTCATTCCTAGCTTAAGATTCACTTCAAATACACTTTATGAATAAGCAAATGCAGTTTATTTTAGGTTCACATTTTTCCAAGGGGGCCAAAAATCCTCATTGGGGCTATGATCTCCTGTACATGGAAACAACTAAGGTCACAAATGAGAACAGTTAATCATCTGCCTAAAGCACCAGGTCTCTGGACCTCCCTCCAGAGGTCATTCATTGCAGCCACAGCTGACTGCAGGAACAAAATTGGAAACTGCTTCCCACACACAGAACCATAACATCACTGATGCAATGGAAAGGAGAAGGAAATATGAGAGCTTCATTCCTCCCTCACCTTAAAGAACAAACAAACACACAAACAAAAACCACAAAGACAACAGTGAAAAGCCAGGAGGACTAATGGACAGCTTCTGACAAAGCCAAAAGTGATTGCTTTTCTATTTCTAAAGTCTATTCAAAAATAACTGCAGATGACACTAAGATAGGCTGCCATCATCTTTTGTTTAGCAAGCTTCAAAGGAATAAGAATAAACTCTTAACACTTATTTCTTTTGTTTTCTTCTAGCTAGCTGCAAAGTAGCTTGTCTGGGCACAGCTAATTACCTTCCTACACTCTAGGCTTGTTTATTCTGCCAAGATTCAGCTTACAACTAGTAATTAAAGCAGTGTAACACTTTGCATAGACCTGTCTTAATCTTGGCCCACACTAGACTGACCCTCTGCACCGCCTCAGGTGCTGGCTAAGGAAGGTAGTGACCATGACTTGGCTAGCCCTAAACTTAATACTCAGAGCTATTACCCTTCCAAGTACTTTCTAGATTGATACTATCTTCCTATTTTTGCATGCTATTGCCAGATTCACCTCTTGGTCCCTTTCACCTCCCTTCAGCAATTACCATTTCATAGAATCATAGAATCATAGAATGGCCTGGGTTGAAAAGGACCACAATGATCATCTGGTTTCAACCCCCTTGCTATGTGCAGGGTCACCAACCACCAGACCGGGCTGCCCAGAGCCACATCCAGCCTGGCCTTGAATGCCTCCAGAGGTGGGGCATCATTTTGCTGAATTTCTCTTTCTCACACTATGACTTCTGGATTATTCTGTTCTCAGATTTAGAGCCTCAACATTGTTTTTCTCTCAGGTTTTTCATCTAAATCATATTTGTATTGCCTTTTGTCAAAACAGGTTGTCAAAAACCTCTCCTGTCTTGTCAGTTATTTACATTGTTGCTCAGGATAGAAGACCATTTAAAATTTCCAGCTCAGCACCAGAATAGCCAGCACATTGCTCAGGAAACGAGACATTGCACAAGAAATACATTCCCTATAGACATTCTTAGATGGTAAACTGGAAGTTGCAGGCAACCAAACTCTGTTTTCTTTGTGATTCATGGGGGATTTGCATCTACAACAGACACCCCACATAAGAATAATTACTTGCCTACATCCTTAACAAACCACACTACTGAGAAAGACTTCCCAGATGCATTTTACATGAAAAAGGTTCAAGTGATGGCCTTCTGCTGTGTTTATAAACCTGAGCTAGAGGAACTCCTTTGAGATTATAAGGAGAATTTTAGATTTTCTAGCTTGTTTCAGCATTGACTTATTGCTTATTGTTTTATGAGGAGTATCTCAGTGACTGCCAAAGATCTTTTCTGTAGAAATGTCTATATAAAAAGGAGTTATAGCACCCCATGAAATAGCATACATAATTAAAGTCTTGTTGCTTCAGATACGATGAGGTAATAATAATAATTTAAGAACAAGATTGTAGACTGCAAATAGAAAAAAGTAATAGGCACTTCATTTTATTTAAGTTTCTCTATCTGCTTGCAAAGATAGCCTCCTTCTCTAAATAGTAGATTGCTTTAAACTCCATGGCTGTAACACAGCCACCCTAGATAAAATTTAAGGCTTTCTGTATAGATAGCAGTCACTTTTAAGGATGGTTTGAATTTGAAAACACTAATTTCTTCAGCTCATGAAGGTGACAATTAATTCAGTCTGCGGAATAGTCTCCAGGATGCTGAAGCTGGGCACTTCTACACACTCCCTTGGGATGCTTGGAGCCCAACTGCTCCTGGACCAACTATCCAGCACCTGTTGTGTCCCAGTAAGACAGCCTGAGGCTGAGCTCTGAGAAAAGGCCATATGAAATACTGTATAAGAGAGCCATTTTCAGTCTGCTGTAATGCTAGTGGGTATGCAACAATGGAGTCACATTTTGAATGTGTCAGCTCTGCTTAGCATCCTTTCATGTTTTCCTTTTTGTCACGCTGTTGACTAACCTGACAGTTTAATACAGCATGAAGTGAGGCAACATGATTGAAGAGCTTGAGAAATATTTCACCAAATTCTTCATGATAGAAGTCATCCGAATCCAACTGCTTCCCCTCCCTCCTCTTTTTTATTGAGAACAGAGTGTGGAGAAAATGCGTTGCTCAAAACCGAAAAGGGTCTTGAGAACAATTCATGTGCATCCCAGATTTCAGTCATTTGAAAGCAGACCTTTATTTTAGAAAGTTTCCAGACGTGAGGGAGAAGGGCAGAAAGAAGCCAGGGCCTTTCCTGTGCTGACAGCACGGGCCCCACCACTCCCCATTGGAGAATCCCCACAGATGACTCACAGATTAGCCTGTACCAATTCCAGTCTTAATTTTCTTTTCTCTCTATTAATCCTTACACAGCTCTCCCCCCAAAATAAAATTAGAGCTGGATTCTCCCCTTTCTTCATTTCCTCCCACTCTCTACTTCAAATACAGCAGTTAAAGCACGATGTCCTAAGAAGACCACTTCATTTGTACTCAGTCATCCACATTTAGGGGCATTGGAAGGAAAATGCTGGTGCCATCCACAGCTTCCAGCCATTTTCCTTGGCCCAGGTTATCCAGTACCACGACTCTCCAATTCTTTCTTGTCTCATTACATGTTTTATATCCTGTGATACAAAGAACACTGGCTGCTATGTGTGCTATGCTATACATGTCTCAAGTTCCTCTTGTTTTCTTAGCAGTAGGCCTCCTGCTGAGGAACTGTTGATCTTTTCAGCCTTAATGTCACAACTGAAACTGTCTTCTTTAGTCTCACTGGCACTCAGAAATTTTGAGAAGGAAAGAAAGAAACCAGAATACAACTTATTTAGCACTACCACCAAGATGCACTTCAAAACTGCAGAAACGTTCGCAAACTCATACACCAAAACCTAGCTTTGTTCCCCTCAAACATCATCCTTTCTTTAGCTGGACTTTCTTCATAATCACTGGTTAATTTGCTACATTCCCACTCAGTGCTCTTATGCACACATTTCTGTACCTGTGTGACTTCAGTTAGTGGTCAAAAATAGAGCAGCTTCTCTATAAAATTTTAGCTTTAGAGCTTTAAGGAGGTGCTTATATTCCAGAATGAAATTTATTGATATAAAGACCTCTATCCTCATGCAGCTGCATCTGCTATCAAAAAGATTACACCACACAAAATATGCCCACACGTACACGTACAGCTACATTGGCACAGACCCAGCACGTAGATCAGGCACAAATTTATGGCACTCTGCTTCCCAATTTCCCACTCCACCGCAATGCAGACTTCATGCTCTTACGACTCAGGAAGGAGATGCATTGCTCCCACTAACACTTCTTGTGGAGAAGACTGCTCTGGATATCACATCCATAGGTGTCATACTGGAAGAATTTATGATGAAAATCTTGAAACTTGACAACCTACAAAGCAAGCCTAAAGGCATCACTCCTTTTCACCACATCTCTCTGGCCTACAACTCTGAGGAGACAAACTGCAGGCTAACATCATTTAGTTATTCCCATGAGCTGCAGTGTTGGGAACATCCCAAAGCTAGGGATGACAAGAGAGAGAAGCATTGGTGACACACAAGGCACAGAAGATGGCTGCAGACCCAATTAGAGCAGGTCTGAGATGGGTTTATGACTTGCCTCACACAGCTCATGGTTTGAGGTTGAGCTAAGGTTTCAGTCAAACTTCCGCACTGTGCTCCAGCCCTGGGGAACTGCTTGCTGGTTTGGAAGTCTGGGAGCAAGAGAAACATCAGCCATTGGAGTCAGGTCAGGAATATAGATTGATGCAGCTAGACAACGGGACCGATCCAAGACAGATCTTGTTTCAGAATGGGAAAGCTATAGGGAAGCAGCTTTGCTCAGCAGCAGGTGATGTAATGTCTCTGGAAAGTAAGACGGACAGACAGCTCTGATGAATTCTCTCTCTGTCACAAGGACAAGAGCTGGGGATGGAGGACATCACACAAACGTGGGAAAAAGCAGAACAGAGGGAGGAAGGAACAAGCAGACGGGGAGGAGGAGGTGCTGAAAAACGGCAGGGAACAGCTCTTTCTGGGAGAGAGTAGCAAGGATTTTGCATTGAGAAAAGCTGTCGCCAGTTATTTTCGTACAGATTTTAAAGTTCACCGAACCCAGCTCTGGAAGTTGCATGTTGTGTTTTTGGCTGGCAATATCAACGTACCATATGGAGAAGCCTCAGTTTGAGCTTTACAATATTGTTTGGATTTGATACTGACGTATTTTCATTAGCACATCCACCTTGAATTGTATGTTCTTTTCTTTTGATGGATGAAATAAATCCATGAAACAAAGAAGCAAGACCTAGAAACAACAAAAGAATTGCAGAAGGAAACTCTTCTGTTTTGAATTAAACCTGAAATTCATTGACTTTAGCATCCTGTCACTGACAGCATCTACCCAATATGGTAGATCCCAGACAAGAGGAAGAAGCAAGAAATACTATGCTACGGTAGATACTATAGATGCTGCTTCTCCATCTGTTTATCCCATTACTATTGGACTGCTTCCCTGTTTAAGGGATTTGCTGAACTACTGGAGCAAAGAGTCTAAAGATAGCGCTTATATTAATTGATATAATAATAACTGTAAGGTAACAGCTCCCATCTCCTCTCTGAGAAGATCCTTAGTAGAAAATCATCTAGAAAAGAAATTTGGAATGGATGAACATATGGAGGCTGAACGAAGTTAAACATGTGGAGAATGGTATGAACCTGAGTTCTCAAACACAGAATTTGAAATGACTTTCTGGCTTCATAGGCTTAGCTTTAGGAAATCTCTCTTTGTAAAGCCTTTCTCTTGTTATGTTTTACTCTCCTCCAGAAATTTTGACAAACTTACTTGAAAAGTGTTGGGATTTTGTCACTCAGGACACTGATTCCATGCATGTTGATCTGATCAGAGTGCCTGGCGTCAGCTCCTGGAGAGCTACTCTAAGGGAAGGAGAGCCACAGTGCCTTTCAGCTCAGACAATGTCTGAATGGAGTGAAGAGCAGGAGGAGTCAGAGCAAGGCCACAAGTCTTCAGTCATGGGGACCACTGTCAAGAGAGAAGGGCACCTTAATTTTCAGACCTAGTAGGCAGTAAGGATGCCCATAATTAAACAGATCGTTGTCAGGGGAAACATAAGGGTCCTAAGAAGCATCCTCTGAGATGCACTGAGGAGCTGCAGGACAATAGGGGAAGCCTAGGAAGACCATCGTCATCAGGGCAGTACTAGCATTTGGGTTTCTGAACTGACTGCATTTTGTGGAACTCTTCAGCCAGCCTCTGTCCCTGCATGACGCTTCTTGCTACAGCCTACAGTTTAATAAACTGTACTTTCCTCTGCTAAATACCATCAGCAGCACGAGATCAAGCAGTAGTAAGAGGTTCTCCCACGCATCTCTTCCTCCTTCTTGCAGCCTGTGCTGCACTAAACCACGTATTTGCATTTTCAGAGACTGGTTGCCTGAAACGTAATTGAAGACATACAGATCATCTGTTTACAGTAACAAATTACAGTAATTTCACTGAGACTTTCATAACAATTTTACTCCTAAACATGCCTATTTTTCATATGCAGTTAAAACACAAGCAAGAAGATGGTGAGATCAGAAAACCTGCAAAGATAAAGAAGGAAGACTGAAGTAATCTCTGCTATGGATATAAGAAAAGTGGTACTGAGTGATACACCTGTCTATGCAGTGTAGGTCACACTGTGCAAGGGAGCCTGATAACACTGATCTTGCTCTAAAACCTCTTGAGCATCCCTCCAGCAGTGGTGTCCATACTCTTGGCATCTCCAGCTACTTGTTTGTCATTCCACAGGCTAGAAAAGCAATTCAACTCCTAGGTAGTATTGAAGCCACACAACACAAATTCAAATTGCACTGCTGCTTGACATCTTGGTTCTCTGTAGACATTCACTAGAGGGAAAAGCTCAGTTGCATTCCGTATTTTCAGGCTTTTCCTGTACAAGTGGGGAAAAAAAGGAAAGAGAGGCAGCATAGACTCACGTTTATTTGCACTGACTGTCGCAATTAAAAACTGAAACCATGATTTGGAAAACAATCAAAAAGAAATGCCGCTTCTGATGAGATCACTTACATTGACTGTAGTTGACATGACTGATATCCCACCAGCCTGCCTACCTGCTGCTCTGTAGTGCCTCTGGAAACAATTTTTCATCTCTGCTTGTTCTGGAGTTGGAGCAGTGTGAGAGAGACAAAAAGCTGCTGCTGCACCACCACTGTACAGTCATTTCTATTTGTCAGAGCATTTATGCAATATTTACCCAGCTCTGCCATCTCGTAATCTTTAGAAGTAATTACCATCACAAGCACCACTGAGCTGGGAAGTCATATCACTCTCATCACAGAGTGCACTGAACTGCTGGGTGACCAGGCAACGTCCCCAGTGACAGTGCAGGGCATGGAAAACTCAGGTTTTGCTGTGCCACTCTCATACCAGTTAAGCTGAACTCCGTTCCATTTTTTCTAATGCTTTCAGCATATCCACCAATTTGTTCTCACGTTTAAAGGAAATTAAAATTTATCTGCACAAAGAAAAGTTTTTTCTCCATTAGAAATCACAGCCATGTATGTTAAATCTTGAAAATATTAAAGCCATTCTGGGACCCAAATTCTCCTCAAGTTTCACAAAATGCTTGCATCTCTTCATTCAGTTCTCCCACAAAACACCTAATTTTCTGGACAGAGACAGCCGGAGTACCAGACAAATTCAAATATACAAATTAAATTCATAAAACTTACAATTTTGTGTTTAGGTCTATCATGCAATCATTGTCTGCAATGGCAACTTCATTTTTGGAGGAACACCAGGAGTGCCAGTTTCATTCAATAAATATGGTTGTCCTCTCTGAAACCCAGATCTCTGCAAAGCCCCAACCTAATGAAGGCAAAAGAAATCTACTTCAGAGGGGCCAATACAATTTTCTATTTGCATTAATGACTGATATCACTTTCACAGAAATGACATCTTCCTCTCTGCGTGAAGATGAGAAAGTGAGACATCTCCATTGTCTTCAAGAGTCAACTATGGAAGAGAAGAAACTGTAGAACAGCGTGAAGCTTTTAAATACAGGCCATAGTAGAAATCCTATTAGCAGATATTACTGTTGTTAGCAAAATTATTTACTTTCATCATATGAGAAAGCAGATAAAGCACTGATGAAATTACGTAGATAAATAAGATGTAGGAAGAAGTCCATGGAGGAAGTCCAGTTCTTTTCACAAAGCTGCTGATCAAGAGGGGACAGCCAGAATACATAGCCAACATTGAACTCATAAGCATCTTCCCTGGGCATAACTGACTGCCTCAGGATGTGAAATGTACTTACTGACAAGGATTCTTGCAGCTATAACAAACTGCAAAAACTTTCTTTATAAAAGAAGGAATAACCTGACAGGACAGAAAGCAACATCTTATAGGAAGATGACAGTTCTGGAGGAAGGATGCTGAATTCTGACACCCAGCTTATAAAGACATGACTTCACATCTTCTCCTCATGAAGGAACAGGTTGTATTCAGGTGTGATGTAAACACAGAAGAGCTAACAAAAGTCTGTCGTCCCATTTATAAGAAAGATGAATTGACTCAGGAGAAATTCAGTTCAGCAAAAGGGGAAAGTAGTCCCATAAACCCAGCTTTATCCCTTCAGCTTGACAGATTTCAGTATGTTTTTGAAGCATTTTTCCTCCCTGTACCCGGCTTAGTCAGAAACAAATGCCAGCTGTCCATTCATCAGCTTGCTTGCTTCGATACCTGAGCATTATCTTGTAACAATGCCACTTTGTGCAAAACATCTTCATGTTTCAGACACGCAATTGCCACTGCATTCAAGTTCAAGGCACGAAATTTATACCAGATTTCAAACACTCCTCACTCTCAGGAATGGTGTTGCAAAGAGAGTGTTGATACACACAGCAGGTTAAAACAGGCATTGCTCTGCCAAAATTAGTCCCCAAATTTTCATTTGATCCTCGTTTATTTTAGAAGATGCTCAGGTGTTAAGAGAGCACTGAATGCAAATATTGTTCCAGCAGACAGGGCATCACTGTCTATAGACAACAATGTCCATTACAGCCATGGAAAGCAAGAGGCTGTGAATTGTGCATTTCTTCAGCTGTATTTTTACCAGTATCACCTACATGTGTTCCAGTTCCCTATCTCATACCTATCCATGTGATGTTTACAAAAGTATGCGAGCTGGTGGTAAGCTCTGCTACCTATCATACTGCAGTTGAAATTATAGATTCCCCTGCAACAAATAAAGGTAGATAAATCCTTAAGATGAGCCAGCATCCTTGTTCTATTTCTACAGAAATAGCAAACCTTTAAAGAAAGCTCCAGTCCACTCAACAGTTTATTGGCAAGATACTACATAACACAACTGATGTAGGTGTGCAAGGGAAGCAAACTCATAGCTACACAAAGCATTTGTAGATTTGAAGATACTACAAATGCTTAGAAAAGCGTAATTTGCCTCAATGTCTGTTTAAACCCTTACATTCAGAGCTCTGTTCAACAGAGCATTGTAAGCTACACAAGAAAAAAATAATTACAGCATCATGAATACTTCAGTTAAGAAAGCTAAGTGAATTCCATGCAGCTGAAAGGAAGCAAAATTGACTGACATCCCCACGAGCTGAATTCTATTATACTCGCAAAACAGTCCAAAGGCAAACACAAAGCCAGTTCTCCTCCTACACTAAGTATGTTAACCTGAGGAACCTTCCAGGAAAGTCAAGAAAGAATGCATCCATTCATTCATTAATTTATTCATTTTCTGCCCTAAGACAACCAGCTAAGGAAATATGGCTGGGGAAGAAAGAAAATTAAGAACTTTGTACGAGGCAGAACCCTGCCTTTTTACAGCCCTGATAAAGGCCACTATGTGATTTTAGTTGATCTTTAAACCAAAACAAAAGCCAAAACAAACAAACAAACATAACCAACAGGAGGCATTCAAAAATCAGACTCTGTGTAGCAAGAAAGGGATATGCACAGCTATCTATCCTGCCCTTAGATGCTTCCTTCAAGGAGAAGGGGTTCAGCACGGAAACTTACTGCTGGAGCCACACGAACCTTTTCAGTAGCAGGAGTGCTTCACTCTCCAGATACATTAGGAGGGAAGTGACATTTATAGCTCTACTGAAAACAGAAATAAAGAAAAGCAATGAAGAGACCAGTTGTGTCCCCTGCTTTCCTTCCTCTCTTGCCTCCTCCTAGCTCATATACTCTCCAGGAAGAAAGATTTGACTCCCCTTTGACTTTTCAGAACAGCTGGCCTGCCTCTAACAAATGAGACACCAGAAAAGGAAGGTTAGGAGTGATTGAGCTGCAGAAGAGACCCAGCTGACCTCAGGCTATCCTAAGGCCTCCCCTCTATTAGAAAAACATGACAGTTCCCAAGGAAGCAAGTGGAGGCATTTCCTCACTAAAGTTCAGGGAAATAGTTCTCATCATGGCTCAAATCATTTTTGTTTGAGGAAACCAGGACCAAACCCTATCATTGCTGTTTGCTATTATACCACTGACAACTGCTGTGAGCCTTACATATGACAGACTACGATTCTAGGTAGGAATTTAAAAGTAGTTGTCTCTAACAACTGTATTTTTTCATTTCTTTAGAGATGCATCATTTGAAGATATTTAACCAGTCTTAGGTTTCTTTCTTCCAACGAAACTGAAGCAAGAACTCTACATCATTACAAGAGCTGATGCATTTCAAACCAGATTCACTCTCATGTTAAATGTTGTGATCGGCTGGGAGAGCTGAGGCACTCTGCATGGCCAAAGAATTCTGTCAGTGTGAGTGTAAATACCAATGGCAAGCCATCCGTGTCGTTATCCCACATTAGTGGTAGTGCAAAATGAGAGTATGAAAAATGCCAGGGCAAGCAGAGAGATGCTGTGTTTGTTAAGTGTTGCAGATGATAACTAAAACCCATCAGAAAGCAAAGTGCTGTGCATTTTCCTTAAGCAACTCAACTCAAATAGCAAATGTGGAATACTCAGGAATGGTACGTTCCTCAAATTGTCTCCTAAACGCTGGCCTCAGTTAAGAGCTGCAGATCAAAATCTGCTAATGAATGAACATGGTTTGCCTTTAATGCTCCATGCTCAGTGTCAGAATTGGCATAGGTCAGAAATGTTGTCTGACAGACTGCACAACAAAGGGTGATGCTTTGATTATTATTATTATAACTTTTATTTTTTTTTGTAAGACCCCTCAAGTTTCTTGAGATTTTACCCAGAACCTTTGGGCTGCTCAGAGGAGTTGCTCTTTAAAATGCCCATCTTGAAGCTCTCTACTGTCTCTGCATCCAAGTGGAGTGGAAGTCTCCTAGTAATGACAACTTGGACACCATTGCATGAAGTCATTGAACTCTATACCTGGCTCTTATTAGAAGTGAACTTGAAGTGGTGAATGTCCTCATGCTGCTATAAAATGGCAGATAATCAGCTGCAAGATTTAAGTCCTGTCTCATGTTTCCAGCAGATGTGTGGAAGGATCTGAGAGAGTTAAGTGGTGGTAGTCTTTAGTCCAAGCATGTACTGCCATAACATGCCATGAAATTGTTATCTAGGAATGACTTAATCTGTGACCTGGAAAGTATCCCCCTCCTCAGGAGGGTGAAGTATGCTGCCCAATCAAAAGCTGTCACTCACAAACCAAGTGCAATTAGCCAGAGACATGTTGCTAGATAACAACTGTAATGAACCCCAAGCAGAGACACACCTTCCCTGGCAGGCTGCTATTTGGGCTTGGAAAACAGTTTCAGAATAAATAAAACAAAAACAGAAGCCATCACATTAGCTGCTGATTTTTCACCTCCTACTCAAACACTCCATGCAAATCCATGCTGGGCTCTGTCAAAAGCAAGTAATTACTCTCAATCAGAGATATTTGGCATGGAGGGAGCGAATCAGTGCATTCCTTGGGGTGGGTGGGTATTTTTACACTAATTCAGATAATGGAACTGCCTTGCTGAGTGGGAGAGGACTACTTATTTCCAAGACTACCTCCCAGCCCCCATTTCACTCCATTCCCTGATTTTTAACATACTCCCACTGCTTTATGACTGGTGCATTACACATAACCAGCTCCTGAGCTGACTGCTTCTGGGTAATAGGAGAGAATTGCTCACATTCCAATGTTGGGTGAGTTGATTTTTTTTTTTTTTTTTTTTGCACTGCATATAACAACACATATATTACACTGCAACGTATTACATATAAGATATATTACAGTAAGCCACAATTTTTACCACTATCTCTTCTCCAGTTACACAATTCAGCAAGGTGGCTGAGAATGCAAGGAACAAACAAATCAGATTACTCTCTGCAGCAGAAGAAAGATCTGGCCAGCTTGCCCAGCTGCTCCCAGAAGGTTCCAAGCTAGAGCCCCGTTATCTCAGCAGAAGCTGAGCCAGGACAAATGATGTCTGACTGCCCACAAGGCCTCCAAGCTGATACCCTGGGCTCACAGCTTGTTTGGACACGTGGTAAATTCCTCCTATTTGCTTAAGCTGGAATCTGAATTTCCGGCCCCTTTCACTTCTTGTCAGATGATAATGTGAGTCAAAGGAGAGCCTGTGCTGTCATGCTAAGATCACTCCAGCTACATTCCTGCCATACCATTGGTACAGGCAGCTTATCCCACAGGACAGCCAAGACCCTTCCCACTTTCACCTACCCCAAACCTGCCAATCACTGCTAGGATCCATTAAGCTGTGTCTAAACTGATATTTTACCTCCACTGTCTTGCAAGAATTTTGCAGTGTTTGTAAAAAGCTTTTTTGCTAGTAAAATACTAAAAAATAATGTTGCACAAAGTAAACTTCTTTGCTGGTAAGTTACTTTTGTAATCATGTGAGTACAACCCAAGAAAAAACATCCAAGTAATATTTCAGCGTTAGGTACTGATAAGATGCTCCCCTACTAAGCACACTGGGAGAATTATGTCATGTTATCACTGCCAGCCTCATTGCCTGCATGGCACAGAGATGCTTGTTGGAAGATCATTTGCAAGATTTTTTTTATTTTTTTATTTCTTTTTTACTTGAACCCAAGGGTTTCTTTCCCCTCCACCTTCAAGTACAAACTCTCCAGGAGAGAATTAAAGATTTATTTACCCCAGATTGTTGAAGGATAGTATTAGCAAAATCTCCTGGCATTATCAGGGCTGCACAACTGGCAGCTGAGGATGGCTGTGCCATCTAAGGCAAGATGTTCTCAGGGGCTGCTGCTGACAGCACGCTGCAGTATGACAAGCTGCAACACAGCAGAGGTTTTGTAGCACATATTCCTTGCCAGCATAATATTGCCCACCACACAACTGTGTAAGAGCAAATAAATCAGAGGCATATCCAAACCTGAGAGTTCAACGGGGAAACATTGCCAGCAAGCTTCCCCTACGGGATACATTATGTGGTCTTCAGATACATTATCTCTAGAAGTAGACAGCTGGAAGACAGAGAGGAGATATATAAGCCTTTGAGATGCTACACTATACAAATCTGTGATGTTCAACACTTGCTATCCTTCCTACCACTGTGTTTTCTCCCCTGTTGCAAATCACATATCTTTCTCTGATACAGGGCGTGCACCAAGCCGGTAGGTTAGCTGGCCAGAGGAAGCATATCTTAGTTCTATGTGATTAATTCTACAATAAGGGTGATTACTCACATTCTTTCTCTTACCATTTCAAGAGAATGACAAAGAAAGGCAGCACCATCCTATCACTGGAAGTTTATTTAGATTAAGACAGGTGAGCCTGAAGGACAAGCTGGTATTTGAACTCCAGGATAAAGAAATGACTGTTGAGATTTACCAACTTTGAAGATTTGCTTTCCAGGTAAAAGAAGTTAAAGTGAAGGAGGTACGATTTTTCTAAAATCAGCAAGGACATCCCTTAAATTCATCTAGGAATATTGTGCAGGTAAGTCCTCAGATTTTCAGAGAGAAATACAATTATCTGCTACAAAAAAAGAGAGGAACAGTTATTTCTGAGAGCCTACTGAAGCATGCGAGAGCAGGGAAACAGGAGGGAAATACAGTGGTGAAAGATAAAAGGGTTTAAATTGAGGTACGCCTTAGGAAACAAAAATTACTCACTTCTCTCAAATGAAGCTGTGCTGAATTTTTCTCTGTTATATATATTTGGGCTTCCAAACCAGTCAGACCTACATTAGCATCACAACACTGAGTCACTGGGCTGACTGACGCAGACACATGGAGCTCTCCAGCTGAAGAACTTCACCTTTCCTGTATGAACAACAGAAACAGGGAGCCTTCCCTTTTTCCTTTTCTTCATTAAATTTTGTGTGTGTGGTTGTTTTTGCTTGTTTCGCTTATATTTTTAAACACATTCCTCCTCTTAGTAGTATCATCTTTAAAACAGTGTTGTAGTCTAAGTGTTACAACTTAGAATCTCAGTTATCTTCTTGGACAACAACCAACCAGGAACCTGAAAACAAATGTTACCTTCTGTGAAAGCCTGGTTCATCTGAAGTTTAATGCTTTTTTTTCCCCACACAACTTCCCATGAAGTAGCAGACTGTTCCACAGCAGTGGCCATGGGAAAAGCTGCTGCCAAGTACTACAGTGCCCAGTCAGTGCACATCAGTCCTGTGTGTCTTACCACAGCTTAACCAGCCATTTGTCTCTCAAGTCACTATTAATAAGCCCTTCGTCATCCAAGCAGATCAGAGCACTTTGCCATTAAAGTCACTTGCCCATAAATCTAGAGCTTATCACAAGCAACTTCTGACGTGCATGCAGAGGAGTGAGAGAGGAACTCGGTGAGAAGCAGGCAGAATGAGCGCACAGATGCATGCTATGCTCTGGACCTAATGTGCAGATCACACAGAGATTCAGCACAGTTAATGACATCTTCCCTTGCCAGCATTAAGGTTCCATTAAGTGATGAATCATTCTGCCATCTGCAAATAGCAGGTCCTCCCCCGTCACCCACCCCACACAGGACAAGGGAAAGGGAAGTTTGAAAACAACTTTCAGCTCTTCTCACTTGTCTGTATGAGCTGCTTCATTGCCTCCTTCGGTGATATCATTGGTAATCTTTCCAGTTCTCTCTCAATAGGATTTTATAACCGTGTAACATTACGCACCGAGACCAGCAGGTTTCAAAACTGCACAAACACCGACATTAAAAATGACAACCAAAATTGACACCTTTGCAGACAGCTGCTTAGACAAATAGATGGTTTCATGTTCGTTGCCATTAAGCAAAGCAGCACTCATTTCAGAGCCCAAACTGAATACGAAATATCACAAGAAAGCGTTAAGTTGGGAGGCTAGCAAATGAAACTGAACCTAGCTACTTGCTGAGCTCCTGATCATGGTGCAACTTCCAGAGACCATGGAAACCTGGCAGGTCAGCTGCAAAGAAGAGCAGTTTCATTTGCAGGTCAGTGCCTGCCATGTAAGCAGTACTGGGTGGCTGGAGCTCTAAGGCAATATCAAAGCGTAGACAAACAGGGAGCTCATGGCACCTGTCTCCACAGCTGCCTGTTGACAAACGTGCCAGGAGCTGCTTCTCTCCCTTGTTCCAAGCAGGCCAAAGACTCAGTCATTGGGATGGCCAAAAGCACGACCGTTACAGCAGTGAGTTACTGCTTAAAAGCTGCTGTGAACGTGGTTCCCCAGAGCTTCCTTAGTAGCAGTCCACATTCCACGTCATTCCCATCAGGGAGCTGCTGTGGCTGTTGGACACCCAC